AAATAATTGTATATAAATAAATGTTCATTCTATATCTATTTAATTGTTGGACTTTTACAGTTGAATTTTTTATTTTTTTGGCTCTTGATTATATTATTTTAAACTGTTTAAACAACAAAGATGTCAATATACAAACGCAATTTTAAACGTATTAATTTAAAAACAGATGTATTACAATAAATATAATTCTCTATTTGTTTTTCTGTTAAATAAAAGAAGTTTATTATAAACAAATTCTTGATCATTGAATATAATTTGTGAAATTTTATAACAATTTGTTTTAATGATAATAATCACAAAACGGACATAATTTAAATGTTTAATTACACCAATATCAACATTGTTATTGAAAACTTTTGTTGATACTGGTTGGATAAAAAACACTTCTGTATTAATACAACTTTATACTGTTCTAATAGTTATTAATATTAAAACAAAGGAAGTTTAATACTTATTACCCCTTCGAACAAAAAAGTATCAAATGGGTATATTCAGCATTCATAGTTAACAGTACAGTACATTTAATTATATTAATATAATTGAAATCAAGAAAATCAAGTCGAAGTAATTGAAAAATGGATTATGTTTTTTGTCCGTCTGTAAATATATACAAATGATGATTATTTTATGATGATTTTTATCAAGTAAAGTTGAATTTTTAAAGTTATCTACAATAAAAATAAAATAATGTATTTCAACTACATTGAAAATTATTATTAAGAATTGTAAAAAACTTTATTTAAAAAAACTTTTTATAATGGTATTACAGCATTTGATTAAAATGTTACTTTGTAAATTACTAAATTCTCATTAAAATAAACAACAATAATACAACATGTTTTTTTTGTAATGTAAATACATGTAATAACACTGATTATAAATTAAATCAAAAAAAAATAATTATTATTGCAATGAACAATTTTAACATAGAATTAAAACTTACATACTAATATCCAATATAATATAAAAATTGATTTCTTGTTGAATAGTGATACAAATGGATAAAACACTTACAAAGATATTATTATACAAATCTATCAATTTTAATATTAAAACAAAGTTGTTATTTTTTTAGTTTGCTTATTAATAAATTTTTAATATAATACTGGTGATTCCGGAATCGGTTCGGGAACCGCCATGTTCCGGAATCAAAAGTTTGGGAATATTTTTTTTATGAAGTTCGGGAACTTGTGTGTTCGGGAACTTATTGGTTCGGGAACACACCAATTTTAAGTTTGGGAATCAGGATGTTCCCGAACCGAGGTTAAAAATATTCCCGAATATTTTTTGATTCCGGAATCGGTTCGGGAATTTGATATAAAAAATAAAATTCCCCAAATAATTTCCTGGAATATTCGGGGAGTGTTTCGACAACACTAAAGTGTTCAAACAATAAACCAAACAGTTTAAATTACAATATATTTATTCTATTTACAGTTAGTTTCATTTTGTTTAATAATTTTTTCAAAATTATAATGTTTTGTTTCAAAATAATGATAAAAATGTACCTTTAATCAACACTGTTTCAAAACAATAATTTATTGTTTCAAAAGAAAAACAATTGTTTCAAATTAATGAATAATTGTTTCATTAAATGATTTATTTTACATTAATTATGACTAATTGTTGAAAAAACTTGTTTTTTTGTTTCAAATTTTTAATTATTTGTTTCAAAACTGTGTTTGAATTCTCAAAACAATAAACACAAAAAATTAAAAACCAGTTAAAGATCTTCCATTGCAAAAACTTTCACAGAAACAATATTAATAAAATTCATTACAATTCGTCTTATTTCAATTGGACTAATTTCATCAAAACACTTTGAGATGTTTTCAATCATATCTGCTATAGTCACATTATTCAATTTTCCAACTCGGACTTTTTATATTCCAAATACGTTTTCTATAGGGTTGCACTCTGGTGAGTAAGGCGCATTGAACAACACTTTGCACCTTCTGTCTTCTGCAAGTTGAACAATGTCATCTTTGTGGACTGAAGCATTGTCCATGACAAATACAATCCTGCTTCCATCCGTTGTGAATGCCTCAATGAGGAATTTAAAATATTTAATAAATATTTCCCCATTAATAGTTTGGTTAAATAAAGTACAATATTTTGAACCGGTATCACTTATAGCACAGACGCACGATAAATTAAATGTCGACAATGGTTGTTCACGAAAATGTTTTTTTTCCTCTAACATCCCAATTTCTGGATCTGACATTGCCAACCTTCCAGTGATTCTCGTCGACAAAAACAACTTGATAACCCGAAGAAATAAATTGATCAAGTTCTCTTCTTTTTTGTACTCGTAGTAATTTGTTTTCCTGTGTGTTCGCTCTGGGACCTCTTATTGTGCACTCGGTAAAACTTAAAGGTGGAAGTTCGGCTACTTTCATTATGTCTGGGTCTTTGATATATCGACTTATTGTTGAAATCGACACTACTTTTATATTAGTTCTTATTTCATTCAAAACACTATCTGCCAAATGTTTTTTGGTTTCTCTTAGTGTTTTATTTTCTATTGTTAATTTATTGGCTATTTCGGTGAGTAACTCAGGAGAATATTTTGGTTTTCTTCCCACTTTTTGAGTTTATGTAATATCAATACTACTTTTCAAATACCTAATATACTGTTTGACCATTTGTTCATTCATTTTGCTTTTTTCTTGATAATATCGCCAATCTTTGATTTCTCCGTGTTCACAGTATTCATTATAAAGTCTGTTTTTCTGGGACTGGGTCGCTTTAACATAGATTCTTTTTTGTTCTGTTTGTTTTGTTGTAATTTGTGTGTCTCCAAATGGTTGTGTTTCAGTGTTCCGCAAACTACTTGATCTTGAAATTTCATCTGTAGTTCTCAATTGTGCAAGTGGTACTTCATCAAGAACTGGTTGTTGATGAGGATCTTCTTGATTCAAAAATGATTGGACATTGTCTCTATGAATAAACTGAAAAGTGTTAACTGCCATTGAAAATATAGATTTAAATGGTGTTTAAATATATACATTTTTTATTTTCCCAGTTAGTTATTGTCAAAATGTGTTTGTTTTCATTGTTTGTTTGTGTTTATTGTTTTGAGAATTCAAACACAGTTTTGAAACAAATAATTAAAAATTTGAAACAAAAAAACAAGTTTTTTCAACAATTAGTCATAATTAATGTAAAATAAATCATTTAATGAAACAATTATTCATTAATTTGAAACAATTGTTTTTCTTTTGAAACAATAAATTATTGTTTTGAAACAGTGTTGATTAAAGGTACATTTTTATCATTATTTTGAAACAAAACATTATAATTTTGAAAAAATTATTAAACAAAATGAAACTAACTGTATCATAATAAAAAATCATTTAAACTATTAAGTTACTATATTTTTATTATAATTTGTTTTTTTCTAAATATTTTAGAAACCCTTAAATTGATAAACGTTTTGAAATTAAGACCCTCATTTATACCACTATACTTTACAACAAATAGTTGCGTATTTGTGCTTGATTATGGAAAAGAGACACTTTTGATTGATATTGTTGATTTACGAAAATGTGTTGGAGTTTATTATCATTTCATTGTACTATAATTAATTAGTTATGTTATTATTAAATAGACAATATTTGAGAATTAAAATAGATTTCTTAATTACTTTTGGCTGGAATTGTTTAAAGTCTCTGTGGTGCAAGTGTTCTTCTTCGAATGAATACTAACCTTTTTTCTTTGATGGAGAAGGTGTGTGATTTTTTTGTCGACCGCATCTCTAAAAAGTTGTTCTTCTTTTCCTATTACCTGCCAAATAATTTAGAGATTCTTGTGAATATGGACTTGTGCCATATAGCGTTTTACTCGCGCTGAAAGTGACACCACTATAAATTGATCCTGTCATGAAATTGTTTTGAAGTGGCAAATTCGCTTTTTCCTTAGCTTTTAACGTCCATTGAACTTGATTTTATACATTTTATTAACTATAGTAATAAATATTATTAATAATAGTTAATCAAACTATTAGTATAAAATAATATAAATATAATAACCAAAGTATAATAAAAAAAATATTTTCCTTAATAAAACTATTGAACAAAATTCAAGTGTTTTAAAAAACGGGAAATTTTAAATTTATATAATACTTTTCCCGACTTTTAAAAGTTTCTTTTAATCATTAAAATATACAGCTCAAATTGGGAAAAACTTCGAAAAACATTTATTTATTCCTCTTATACAAGTTAAAAAAACAATTTGTCTTTTTATGTGTTAATAGAAACATGTTATTCTATTAGACTTCGAGCCCGCATTTTTTACTGATGATTGTTAGTATCAAAAACGCCAAAGAACCGGGTAAAATATAACATACCGTTTTAATAGCATTTTTAAATGCTATTCTCCAACACCCAAAAAATAAAAAAAATAAGCTATAATTACAATAAATTATTTATTGATAGCTAAATTATCTATTTTTAAATTCAAATGGGTTTTGTTATATTAAAGCTATTTATACCATTTCACCAGGCAAAAATTTTTTATAAAAAAATTGCTCTTATTTGTCGTAATTTGATCGAAAAGTTTTTATATATTCATTGAATTGTTAATAACAATAATAAAAAAATTAAAACAAAACTATTGAAATGATGACTAAAACTGCCAGTTTTTGTGAGTATTTTTCAAAAATGTTTTATTAATTGAAGAAAAAGATTTTCTAATTCCAATAATCGTTTTTTATCTTGTCATTTTCGATTTGTTTGTTTTTTTTCCATTGTTTTGTTTGCTATAACCTTTAACCCATTGTTATTGTAGTAATTTATAATATAAAATATTATATGATATAGTAACTTGTATTGTGAGTACCAAATTGTATTAAATATTCATCTTTGCACTAAAATGCCACAAAAACACCTCGAAAACGAAGGAGTTTCTTTTGTTACTTGAACTAAATGAAATGATAAAATAACGATAAAAAGAACCATACTCAAATTAACTCGAAAATTTCATTGTCTTCGCAAGTTTCAATGAATCGTTTTACAGTCGACGAAGTAATTGCAGACATTGAGTCGATGATTAAAAACCTTCATGACAAGGCTTGTAAGAAGATTAAGACAATGGTAGTTGATGACATCCCTTTTACTGTTGGGTTTCAAGATCGTCGAGATGGGTTTGTTATATATATTTCAATATAACAACAGTGTTATTAATTGAATTAGTGACTTTATCAAGCACAGAGTATATAGTAAGTCACTTTATTAGTGCAATTTAACTCAAATCAATATAACTAATCAAATCAATATGAAATCACATGTAGAATGCACGCAATCATCTCTGAAGGTATCATCCCGTCTACTAGTTCCAAGATGTTTAAATTCTTTGCGAATTACGACACGTATGTTCAATACCTTCCCTTCATTTGGAAATTCAATTATCTCGACCACAGAGATGTCTTTGACTTTATAGTCGAGATGGAGTTCAACTTAATAGGATTTACTAAGAATGGGTTATGTCTGAGAAGAGTGATGAAGAAGTTTGTTAACCGTTCATATGTGATGTCTCTTTCTGTCACCGACCCCAACTCGAGAATTGTCCCTTTCAGAGATAGTGCAATTCTCTTCCAAGCAGTTACATTAGAGGATGTAGGCAATGGGTGTATGATTCGAGACATCGAAGTCATTCAGCCTATCCCTTGGTTACAATCAGAGGACTTGAATGAGTCTTTAGAGCGGTTTAGTTACATCCCAATCAGACGAATGAAGTCATGTCTTGATTTCATAGCCTTTGAAAAGACACAACACCGCGCCGATGTTATTATGAATGTCGCAATAGAGCGTGCGGGGCTTGAATTAACATTAAATGGGAAACATGAAACAGTCGGGGAGGTATGGTTTGAGAGTGCGAGGACGCGAGTGACTTGTGTTGGGTATGTGATCGATCAAGCGTCGTTTATAGCGGAAGGGGTTTTTATTAAAGATTGCACTTTTCAGTTAACACAAGAGACTCTTCTTTCTTTGATCTTTCAGAATCGATGTAGTTGTGTGAGTCCCTCTGGGAAGAGAACTGTAGTTGTCCACAAGAACCAAACACCGTATTATCAAACACAAGGCGAGGACATCACTTTTTCAACTTTTGTGTATTCGGAAAAGTGCGCTTTAGTCCATTTCAAGAGTGTTATAGAGAACTTACAACCACAAGACGTCGACCAAATGTATACCTTTGGACCAAGTTATATCTACTTGTTTAATTGCGATGGGAAGTGGAATATCCAATTCAATATCAAAGTCTTTGCACGGACATCTTTACAAAGATTAAACCAAAAAGCAGCACTCAACGCGATTTTACAATTCTTGAGGAACATCGACACGTCATTTAATAATTTGAGCCCAATCGAAAACTACAAACAACCACTGAAGTTTGTTTCAAGCGCTTCACCAGTGGTGCCCGCGTTGCTCACACTGCCTTTTGCACTGGTCATTAAAGTCTGCAAATTTCTGAATAAAATCGACATCTTTGCGTTGTCGCGCACGTGTAAATACTTCAAGAAAAGTCTGAACAACACATTGAACACAACGAGTGAGTCTGGGAACACTCGAGAGGATGACGGTGAGAGAGACACTGTTTTTAAAGCTTCTGAGATGCCAAGGAGTATGAGCCCACACAATGAAAGCTTCAACATTGCAATATGGAAAACAGTGACTCCATTCTTCCATATACTCCAAGGACACACCAATCTTATACGTGACTTGGACTTTGATGGAGAGTGCAAGAAGCTTGTTTCGGGGAGTTCTGATCGGAAGATCCGATTGTGGAATTTGGACGACTTTTCGTGTCGGACATTTGTCGGGCCGAACAGTTGCTTAGTCTCGACGAAGTTCACGGCGAAGAATTATATAGCGTCTGGGTATCACTGTGGGACGATTCGATATATCAACTGGATTGATTCAAGGCATTCACATGTCTTTGATGTATCGCAAGGACCGATTGAAGGGTTCTACCCGCTGGAAGACATGGAATTTGTTGTTTGGAATGAGACGGTGAATGGATATAAATACGCTAGTATGCATCAGAACCATTTGTTTTCATATAGTGGACATCAAAGGAAAGTGTCGATTGTGCGACCGTATGGGAAGTATTTCTTGTCTGGGTCAGCCGATCGAACGATCCATATATGGAACCCGTACGACGCGCAGACTGTCGCGAAGATCAAAGCACACAAATCCGGGATTATAGGGTTGGAACCAATCAACGAACACAATTTTGTGTCAGCGGGGAATGACAAAGTGATCAGTTTTTGGGACGATCGGATGTGTGAGAAACCGACGTATTCAATTCAGAAGAAGATCTGTGCGTTGTCGTACCACTCAGACAAGATCGTATGTGGTTCTCATGAAGGGAAGATCTATGTCTATCCCATCATCCCCTCAAACGATTGTATAACGCTTGAGTCCAATAATGTGTCTGGACTCATCAGTATTGCTTGCAAACAGAATTTCATAGCTGCAGGGTTTAAAGATGGGAACATTGCGTTATGGAAATATTAAATTGTGTGTTTTGTAGTGGTTATATTACCGATTGAATAGACTCCAAGAGTGAAGAGAGGGCTCAATAAAGAAACATTACCATGTAATTTACTCATAAATTGAAATAATTATTAAAACTAGTCATTTCCCTGTTACAAGCGATTGGTTGTCTACTGAAACTTGAAAAAGTTGTGAGCGCTCAAACTTTGAAAACTGAGTTCTTTCTCACGTCGTTATCCGGCATGTGAGACTCTCCATTTCAATTCATACCTTCAAGTCCATGCTAAACTATACATAAACTATAAATTAACCAATAATAAACTATACAAAAGAGGCATGCAAATATAGAAGACCAGTGGGACGAAGAAACGAGCAAATGAAAAAAGACGACGAGAACTTCAAATATAGAGTCGAACTGGAACTTAAAAACAGAAGAGGATGTCAACACTGCCAGCCGTCGTCTTGGATAATGGGACCGGATATACGAAAATTGGATATGCGGGGAATACTGAACCGTCGTATTTAATTCCGTCCATGATTGCTGTGGACTCGAGTGCGAATTTGAACACATGTCCGAAGTCGACCGAGGACTTTGATTTTTACATTGGAGAGGAGGCCGAGCAAGCGCCGAAGTCGTACACCAAAACGTTCCCATTGAAACATGGCCAAATAGAGAATTGGACATTGATGGAGATGTATTGGGAGCAAGCTATATTCAAATATTTGAGATGTGATCCGCAAGACCACTACTTCTTATTAACTGAACCCCCTATGAATCCCCCAGAGAACAGAGAATACCTTGCTGAAGTCTTCTTTGAAACATTTAACGTCCCGGGGATGTATATTGCCGTCCAAGCTGTGTTGGCTATAGTAGCTTCATGGTCAAGAAAGGGTGGAGATAAAGGAAGTGTCTTGACTGGAACTGTTATTGATTCAGGGGATGGAGTGACTCATATCATCCCAGTAGCTGAAGGATATGTCATTGGATCAGCTATTAAAAACATTCCACTTGCTGGGAAGGACATCACTGCATTCATCCAACAAATGCTCCTTGAACGTGAAGAACCAATTCCTCCATCGGAAAGAATGGAAATGGCACGAACGGTGAAGGAGAAGTATTCCTTTGTCTCGAAAGATATGGCTAAGGAATTTGCTATTATGGAAGAAGGAAAGGACGGAATGTCTTCATTCAAGAAACATGAGGCGAAAGACCCGATCACAAAGAAACCATACACTTTCGACGTCGGGTATGAACAATTCTTGGCACCAGAACTCTTCTTTAACCCAGAAATCTTCTCCTCAGACTTCACTACACCACTTGCAGATTTGGTCGACGATGTCGTGCAGGCGTGCCCTATCGATTGTAGAAGAGATTTGTATAAGAACATCATCTTGTCGGGAGGATCAACTATGTTCAAGGGTTTCGGAAAAAGACTCCAGAGAGATGTCAAGAGATTCACCGACTTCAGAACACAAAAAACAGTCGAATTGTCCGGTGGAAAACTCACCCCAAAAGCTACCGAAGTTAATGTCGTCACTTACCCATATCAAAGATACGCAGTTTGGTACGGCGGGTCTGTCATGGCAGAATTGCCAGTCTTCGTCCAGCACTGCCACTCGAAGGCCGAGTATGAAGAAAAGGGCCCATCCATCTGCCGTTATAACCACGTCTTTATGGCTTGCTAATTTCAGTCGTCATTGAAACGTTTTGTTTTACCATTTTTTTATTGTTTCGATATTATAAAGTTAATTTTTTTATTGTTCTTCTTATTGTTTGGTCTTTTTGATTATTATTATTATTATCTTAAAGAAAGTCAATGTCATATAATAATTAAAAGCTCTAAGATTTTAGGGAAAGAGATGTTAAATGTTTGTGAGGTTTATAGAATGAAGGATAAGGTATTTATGATGAATGAGAATAATAATATTTACTATAAATTAATAATAAAAAGTACGGAAAAAATGCCATGCGATGAAGTTTTCAAAACGGTTTTTTCTTTTATCCAAAACTTCAGGAAGAAAAAAAACACCTTTGTTAAATCTGTTTTAATCATTTTTAATAGAGTATATTTCCCGAAATGTTCCAGTATAATACAGCTGTTTTTTTTTGGTCACAAAACGAATCGTTATTTCTTTAATTCAAATCTTTTTTTAAAACCCCACTTTTAAAGTGATGACTTTCAGAAATGTATTATTTAGCATAAAACTAAACTAATAGAGCAATTATTTGGGAATTATCATACTTTAATTTTTTTTATCCAAAAAGTAAAGAAAAATAGAAATTGTCAACCCTTTGACTTATAATTGTGTTTTTCGGACAATTTGTATTGTTTTTTACCAAATCGTCTTGATAAAAAGTCTGATTTGATCTTTAAGTTAAAAATAGGTAATAAGTACTATAATTTATTAATTCATTTCAGGTATTTCGAATCTATCCAACGGATGGTACGTATTAAGCAACAAATGCTTTCCAATGAAAAAATATACCTTTCAATCTCTTCATTTCGTGATTTTCAACAATTTCAAAGTCGCTTGGAGATACATTCAAACTTGAAAATCCAGATATGATCTCCACCGACCTTCCACTTGACTCTTCAAACAAGTACGACCTCTCCGCGCTCGAACAAGTCTTTTTACAAGGAGGTCTAATCACCGAGTCAAGTCTCTTAAAACTCATAGAAGAAGCGTCGACCTATTTACGACTCGAGAAAAACGTCGTTGAGATCACTACAGACGCCCTTGTCTTTGGAGACTTCCATGGACAATACTTGGACTTACTTACACAAGTCGACGACGACTATTGGAAGACGGATCGACCAGAACACACGTTGGTGTTCTTAGGAGATTATGTTGATCGAGGGCAAATGTCATGTGAAGTGTTGATCACGTTACTCTGTATGAAAGTGAATGACCCAAAGAGGGTTGTGTTATTGCGAGGGAACGTTTGTTATATACCAGAGAATGCATTGAGGTGTGAAGTATCAATAACTCGTAGCATGAGAGTCGAACAATGACACAAGCGATGGGCTTCATGACTGAATGTAAAACAAAATACTCGTTGACACTCTATTTCACCTTCTGCGACTTGTTCGACACATTCCCACTCGCCGCTCTTGTCACTCGGAAGATCGGCAAATTCTTCCTGTGTCATGGAGGAATTTCCCCTAAAATGGCGAAGATAGAGGACATCAATAACATTTTCAGGTTCCAGGAACCGCCGAATGAAGGACTCTTTTGTGACATCTTATGGGCAGACCCCGTCACTGATAAGTTCTTGGACGAGAAACCAAAGTTCAAACAACACTTCGATAAGATCACCTTCCTCGAGAATAAAGAACGGAACTGTTCCTACTTGTTTGGATATCAGGCAATTGACGAGTTTTTGGCTTCGAATAACTGTATTGCGCTGATAAGAGGCCACCAATGTGCACCCGAGGGAGTTGAGATGCAGTTCTTTGGGAACGACGACTTGGAGTTTCCGTTGTGTTTCACAGTGTTTGGAGCGACGAAATATTCACTGAATAATGAGGGGGGTGTGATGCTTTTGGGGAACGAAGATATCGATATCAGTAAGTACCCGACAAGTAATGAAGATTTGATCTTCCAACCGGTCCTTGGGAATATCCTGTGGTACTCTACGGGCAAGTTAATGGAGTTTTTAGAAGACGGACTGAAGCGGTTGATATACTCTGCGTTCACGACGGTGCAGGAGGACATCGACACGCCTTTTAATACACCATCGAAGCGCGAGGATAAGCAGAAGGGGACTCCAAAAGTGTCAAAACTTGCTGAGATGACATTTGAAGAGCCCAGTTTGGGCTTTGGAAGTGATGAATGTAATAAAGACTTTTGTCTTGCACCGATCACGCTCAATTCATTTTCACCAGTGGGTCCCATGGGGTCGTATAATGTCATGAGCACTCCACTGAATGGAGGGAATAGGTTCAAAGAGATGGATTTGAAACAAAACTTTCAAGACTATCCCTCATCTTCTAAGAGAGTGATGTCGTCATTTGTCGACGTCAAATTCAAAAAGGATGGGACAAAGGACAAATTTCTCTTTGGGTCGTTTGAAGGGAATGACAGCTCTCCTTTCGACAAGAGAAGTCTTTTCAATTCGATATCAACACAGCAACCCACTTTATGTTTGTTCATTTTCATAATCTTTTTGAGTAGAATTCTGTTGTGGAGAATGTAATAACATCAAGACGAGAAAAAGATCGAGAAACGCATTCGTGAAGAATCAATACCAATTAGCTTGGACGAGTTAAGAAAGAAATTCCTTGAACTTAAGAAACAGTGAACCCATATCTCTTGTGTAATACATCAAAGTCTAATTTACGTTTATTATTCGGCTCGTCATGTTTCTTACTCAATGCAATTAATGTACTATATCTATAGTATAATTATACTATAATCATTTACTTACCTCCCAAAAAGACGTGAAATGCATTTAATTAAAATTGTATAATAAAATAACTATATTAAATGATACAATAAATGGGCTGTTTAAAAATAGAGAAGCAACAACGGAAACTGATAAATATAAGATCCTTTGAACTCCAAAATCTAATTCAGCATGAGCGTCCCATCTATGCCAGCTACTATGCCAACACAACCTCAAGAAGGTGTTCGAATAGGTCGCCGTTCGTTGAAACAGAGCATCATATCTCCAAACCAACCGACTGCGCCACGCCCAAGTAATTTGAATCAAACCACTGAAGTTCCACAAGCATCAACTCCTCAACAACAACCTAAGTCTTCGACGCCATCACTAAATCCAATATCAAGCCCGACATCGTCTTTCAATAAAATGGGCTCTGCGTCATACAATACGTCATCATACAAAAAAGGGACACACCAGTCAAGTATTAAAGAAGGTGAAGGGAGCTATACCGGATCACACGACGGGTCTTCACACTTCTCTGGGACGACACAAAACCCGGGGATTTACCCCAAAATAGAACTGCAAAAAGTCGAGGACTTACTTGGAGCGTTGAACGACCAGAACAAATATTACTTTGATATGGCCGAAGACCCCAAAGTGGAGAAGGTCGAGTTCAAGGAAAAGTACTCTGAAAATGACGGGAAGTGGCGGGAACAAATTTATAAGGACGTTCAAACGTATCAACGAGTGAAAGAGACAGTTTACCCGTTACACCGAACGATTGCGTTAGTGAAAGAACTTCAGCCTGGTGTTAAAAAGGTCAAGGAGAAGGTAACGAAGGAGAATATACTTGAGATGATCTTACAGCATCTGCATGTGAAGGGATATAACACGACACGAGGGGTCTTAGAGACGGAGAGTGGAGTGAAAACGCCGAAACACACGTTGAATAAGTCTGTTTTGTTATACACGTTATTCAACGCAATACACAACAGCGAACTTGTCTACGACCAAATTGTCGAGGACAAACACTACTCGGCTCAGAGCGTGAATGAACACTTCACATCGATTGGATTGGCTGCTTTAACACATGAAGCCGACGATTCAACGAAATTGTATGAAGACCCCGATGTCAAGAATATGAAGACCGTTGGCGATGTTACACTTGAGGACACTAATGACAAGAATATGAACTTGAACTCGATTGTATTCAGACTCACTGCTGTCGGCCCAAGAGCTGGAGTCTTTGTTAAGGCTGTTGGTATGTTTTTGACGACGATTACTACACCAGAAAAGTTCTTCTTGAAGCTGATGGAGAGACTGGACGTCCCCGAAGACTTTGAACCGGAGAACGGATGCGACAAAAACGTCTATAAGTCATCTGTCTCTTCTAAGGTAGCCGCAGTCATTAAGACGTGGATTGACTTGTACGCGATTTACTATGAGACCGATGAGAAGAAGGCGCTTGTCCGATTGATGGAAGAGCACTCGAAAATAGTTGATGGAGCGGTGTTAAATGTGATGAAAGGACGAATAGGGATCTTAAAGAAGTCGATAGAGGACGATCACAAGACGAAGGGCTTCAACCCGATGATTAAAAAGAATTGCATAGTCTTCCCATTGAAAAAGCCTGAGGAGAGCTCTGGGCAAACAAAACAGTTGCCGGACCAGAGTAAACTCAGTACGGAATTATTTAAACAGTTCTTCCCTAAAGTCCGCTTTTTGGATATCGACGATGATGTGATAGTCAGTCAATTTACTTATATGGAGGCGTTCATCTTTTACCAAATACGACCAAGTGAGTTCTTTGGTCAAGCATGGGCTAAAGTGAAGTATCGATATAAGGCACAACATATTCTTGAATCAACACAGATGTTTAACTTCATCTCGTCGTTCTTTGTCAATTTGTTCTTGAACACTACAGTGTTGGAAGAAAGAATTGCATTAGCGAAAAAGGTCTTGAGTATCGCTATTAAAGCACACGCTATCAAAAACTACGATTTACTCTATTCACTTGTTGGAGCACTAGGAGACTCTGCAGTGCATCGAATGAAAAGAACAATGGAGGCAGTCAATCAAGACCCACTGTGGGGACAATTCGAGAAACTCGGGATGCTCTTCCAAAAGAATTACTCCGGGTTTAGAGCGGAAGTGAAAGACATCTATTCAACTCCGTGTATCCCATTCATTGGAACGTATTTGACGGATTATACTTTCTTGGACGACGGAAATCCCGATATGGTCGGTGAAAAATTCAATTTGGATAAGAAGCTCCGACTGTATGAATGTATTAACAACGTCGTCAGATTCGAAGACACAAAGTACGACATCGTCGCTATCCCTCAAATCATTTGTTATATCAATAATTACTACTTCAGCGATGGAATACTCACAGACGAAAAACTCAAATACGACAAATCACTCAAGACCGAGCCAAGAGTCCCAAAACCAACAGCTCCTGTCGCTCAGTAAAAGAACTTTTTTTTAAGTCGTTGGTTCTCTGGTTTTCTTTTTATTATATATGACAAATTAAACTAAAACAACTAGTTCAGATTAATTGATACAAAATATAGTTTGAATTTAATAAAAATATTAATTTAAATTGAATGCCTTTTTCTATTTACAAAGTTTATTATAGTTTAGTGATTTTTTCTAGTATTATTAGTTTTGGAACTATTTACAAAAACTATTACAGGTTAATTTGTGAATTTGTAGTATTTTTATTTCTTTGTATAGTAAAATATAGTAAAATATAGTAAAATATAGTAAAATATAGTAAAATATAGTAAAATATAGTAAAATATAGTAAAATATAGTAAAATATAGTAAAATATAGTAAAATATAGTAAAATATAGTAAAATATAGTAAAATATAGTAAAATATAGTAAAATATAGTAAAATATAGTAAAAAAAGAAATGAATTACTTTTTCTTTGCATATTCATTGTATCTCCTAACATTGGCTGGATTGATTTGAGCAGCTTGTTGTCGCACTGCACTACTCATATCGCCAGTATTATGTGTAAAGTTATATTCCATTGTGTTTGCGAATTCCATGTAAGGTGTTTGCATTGTCTGAGTTGAGACTTGTTGGGCCATTCTGAAGTTTGAAAGGTTTTGTCGAGCTTGAAAAACATTTCCTTGGGCTTGTTGTCTTGAAGCTTCTCTGATATAATATGTCTGAAGTACTTCCCCGTTTAATTCATCCTTTTCTTTTTCGTCTGCGACTTCTATTGTCTTACTTATCACTCGAATTCCTTTCATCCCATTTGTCTTCTTGTATTTGACTTGGACTTGCACGGGGAAGTTCTTAATTTCTCCAAAGACTTTGATATCTTCTTCTCTTCTTAAAGCATACTTAAACTGATAAATTGACCCATCTGTCACATTCCCATAACTCACATTCTTCCGACTTGGACTCTCAGAATTTTGTTCCATGTCGATACATACAGCGGGGTGTAAATAGATCCCTATCACGACTTCACTGGCTATTAACACCTTATCTATGGCATCACCAAACGCAGTCTCTATCTGTGATGGCTCAACTACTAACACTTCACCGCCAGTAGCTACAGAACACTCTCCCAAGTCTTTCAATCCCGCATTGCACCCACTTAATGTGTTGATGTTGATCACTACACCATAGCTCTTTGCCAATTCTGATATTCTTGGATACAGCTTGTCTTCATCTATACCATTCTCTAATATCCCAATACCTACATTTGCCATCCCATCAGTGCATAAAATGACTTTCCCATTCTTCTGCTTGCCAGCTATAACAGAAGAGACCAACAAGGCTGGACCAAGTGCAGTCGACCCTTGTTCTTCTAATCCATCAATTGCTCTATAAATGGAACTCTTCGTCTCGGAAAGACTTTTTAAAGTCACTTTCTCTTTGGCAATATCAACTAAGGAATCAAAGTCGGTTAACATCTGTGACTTGACTACTATCGGCTTCTCGGTGCAGTCCCCATAGATCATAACTTCCTTGGAAAATTGGACTAAGCAGATTTTGGTGTTTGGCTTGGTTGCTGAAAGCGCCTTGATCTGCGATTTTAAAGCACTTTTGACGACATCAAGACGGGTCTGCATCCGCCCAAAATTGGAGTCGACATTAATGCTCATCGAGCCAGAAGTGTCGATACAATACACTAAAGTCGAGTCTTCTGCTGTTTCTGCTGTCTTTTGTTCAACGGGAGCTTCTAAGATGTAGTCGACTGTTTGTGTGTCGGGAAGTTCTTCGGGAAGGACATCAGCAATTTTGTTCTCCGTCCCACAAAACTTGCATTTCCACGACAAGTTCTCTATTTTATCCAAATAAGAGAATATCGAGTTGCAATGGGAACAAGTGATGGGGTCACCTACATGGATGGGGACGTTATCTTTTAAAAAGTCCAATTGAATAGATATAATGTTTGCATCTATTTGGTCGGGAGGGGGTGGCACACAACAAGAAGACATTTGGGGGTGTGGAATTGGCCCAGAAGGTGGGACTTGTTGACTGTGAGATGTGGAAGAGGCTTTTTCTGCTCTTTCTCGACGTACAAAGCGCGCTTTTTTGCTGGCGAAATCCATTGAATTGATGAAAAGAATATATACAGATAATACTTTTATAGCATCTTTTTTAAAGAAAATGTATGGTATCAATTCTTTGATTTTTTAAGTTAAAAAACAGTGGAATTTTTCATTTTGGTGGTTCATTGTCAAAATTTGCCGATTAAAAGAAATCAAAAACTTCAAAGTGTGAAGATTAAATAAAATTAGTTAAAATAAATTGTTTTTATTATTTAAAATCAATGATTATTATTATAATTTTATTATAATTATATTAAATATTTATAATAATAATAATAAATAATAAAATTTTAAATGATTTAAAAACATCATTGTTTAAAGACAATAGATATAAAACTTTGCAAAATGTTTTATATGATATATCATATAATTACTAATAATAAAATGACTTATGTTAATATTTATAAATTATTATTAATTAATTTTATTATTCATTATAATATAAAAAGATGAATAAATAATTATTTTAAATAGTAAAATAAATTAAAATAATAGCATTTGTTATTATGAAGGTCTTTGAACTGAAAAGTTAGACAAGCCAAATGAAGCGTGACAACTACTATGCAAAGTATATCGACGCTTTATACGAAGACAAATTAAATCACCCTGAAGATCTTGTTTTTGTTCTTCCTCATCAACTTGAAGTAGTTCGCAACAAAAACGTTGTAGTAGAGGTGATGATTGTCAATTACACCGAGAATGATTATGCGGTTGAGGTGGTGTGCGGGCCTCTTGATGTGCATGTAGTTGGAGTTGTGTCAACGTCGACAGAAACAACGAATGTCAGCTTTTTAGTGAAAGGTGATAATGCAAACAAAGTGAAAGAAACGGAACAACTCAATGTGGTGGTCAACTTGACATCATTGGAAGATGGCGAAGTCATGAACCGATACATCAAAACTGTTGTTGTTGACAAGGAAAAGGAAACTGAGCAACAAGAACAAATCTTGCCACAATACAATCAACAACAAATGGTTGCAGTGCGACAAGAAGATGCAGGCAACAACAAGACTTTTTGTGAAGTTCAAATTGAATTTGAAGGAGAAGAAGTTCTGAACAAAAGACAGCCACTCAAAGTCACCGTCAACAACAGAGACAAAAGAAATTTTCTTCTGAGCGCACACGAAGGCGGCGAGTTTACTGTCGAATTTCCATCAGAACCAATCACTAGTGGCTTGTCTGGAACACTCGACGGGTGTTATATCACTCTCAAAAATAACAAATCAAGTGAACGAAATTGCATCGTCTCATTCACCGACTTTAACACACAAAAACCAGTCTGCCAAACTATCGTCAGGTTCTCTACACACTCTCAAAAACAAAAAATCGACGCAAAAAAACATTACGACGTTGACTACAACGACTTCTTCACTAAACCACTACAACACAACGAAGAAGCACCACTACACAAGGAAGAGACTGAGTCCTCACTTGTTAGTTTGGATTTGAACGATGACGATGACTAAACACATCACGTCTGTGTATAATTAGATATGCGGTGTTGATTAAGCTTGTACCTGTATTATTTACAGTTGTTGTTTTCACATGAAGGAAATTACTTTCTGTTAACTAGATATTATAATATAAATATAATTATTTATATTATGTTGTGTTGTTGTTATTTTACTAAATTTATTAATTTATTAATTTAATTTTATAATAAATACTAGAAACTCCAATTCTTTTCACCACGAGTCAACATTTTCTCATTAAGTTATCTCAATATTTTGATTGTTTTTCTCACCAAAAACGCCATAGAGGAAGAACTCAATTTTTTTTGCCTCTCCAATATTTCTTCTTTTTAGACTTTAAAAACTTGAAGAATGATTCAAACAAAGAACTAGATTTCAAAATATTAATAAATGTCCCAACTTGTAGTTAAAGCAAAGTATAGCATCACCTCATCCTCACCAATTAAACTCTCATACCTTGAGGGAGAATCAATCAAAGTTATTGAACGCACCCCATGCGGCGTTTGGAAAGGAGAAGTGAATGACCAAAGTGGGTTGTTTCACATCTCCACTGTTGACATCCCCATTATAGAAAAGGTAGTTATGAACTATGATTTTACAAGTGCAGATAGTACTTGTATGAAAGCAAAAGCTGGCGAAGTGCTTACTGTTATAGAAAAAGGCGTTAAAATTGGATGGTTATATTGTCTACGTGGGTACGACTGTGGGTATGTACCCCAAAATTTCACGACAATAACTTCAGCAGATTATCCAACAGACTTTACACTAACTAAAGAAGTTATTAAACCACAACACATCCCATGTACTGTCTCAATTAAGTACACATATGAGCCACGAAGTGAAAAAGAACTTTCATTAGTCCCAGGTGATAAAGTCGAAGTCCTTTCGTTTGAGGGAATGTGGTGGTATGGACGTAAAGAGAATTCATTTGGATACTTTCCTGGAGAGTATTGTCAAGTCATTGGAGGAATACACAAAGAGGTCAAAAGTGAAGGAATTGTTTTGTTTGATTATGAAGCCAAAAATGATTTTGAGTTATCTGCGCACACTGGCGATGTCTTTTATATTGAGAGAGTAGTTGGGAGTTGGGCAGTAGTGTATGTAAATGAAGAGAGATACATCTTTCCGTCTAGTTATCTTTCATTGTTAAGTGAGTCTGATAAAAAGATCAAACAAGACACCGCAATTACTTTAAACGACTTTGTAGGTGGAGCCTCTGGACTTTTATCAGTCAAACAGAGTCAATTTGTAGTCGTCTTGTCGAACAAAACAAATGGGATGTCGTTATGTTATAAACATGAGAAGACTGGTCTAGTTCCCACTTCTAATTTAATGACTATAAGAGATGGCCAAGACTATTTGATAGTTGAAAAAACATTTGAAGCGAGAAATCAGAATGAAATTACTGTCACACAAGGACAAGCTTGGATAGTAGTGAAAATAATAGATGAAAATTGGGTCATTGGGAGAAGACTTGGCGTAGAAGGCTTTGTCCCAAGAGGCTTTGTGAAGATTCAAAAGTTCACTAAACCGTATAGAAAAGAGTATACCGAAGGCATCGCACATATCAACTCAACAACAAAGCCGAGGAAGAAAGATGTACCGGTCATAGTGATGCCCCAAGGCACTGTTCTAGAGAGAAAAGAAGAGAAATCGCCACGGAAAGGATTTTTTACACAACGAAAGAGGAAAGAGAAGAGTGAGGTTGATCATACTAAAGAGGCTTATGAAGAGAAGAAACAAACTATAATGAAAGCCAATACCTTAAAAATAGACAAACAAAAAGAAGAGCCGTTAAATGAACTTAAAGAACTCAACAAAGGGAAGAAAGAACCAATTAATGTCTTAAAGTGGTGCCCAATAGAACAACATCAAGACACTGTGAGTGGGATGCAGACTATTAATGAAACATATGAAGAAGATTATATCGACGAAGAGAAAGAGAAGTTGCGCGAAGAGAACGAATTACTGAAATTGGAGTTGGAGAAGACTAAACGCGAGAGGGACTTCCTTCAGAAAACTATCGACTCACAAAAGAGTGAAGTCGACGAGATTCGAAAGCAACACGAGAAGGACATCACACTCGTCGCGTCACTCCAACAAACCGTCCAAACACAAAAAACGGAAATTGAGAGTTTCAAGAAACAAAAGGCAGACAAACAAAAAGACGCGCCACCTCTTCTTGAGGAAGACGAAGTGATTTCCACACTCAAAAATCGTGTTGTCGAGCTTGAGAAGACCTTACTCGAGGAAAAGAAAGAGCGAGTCGAAGGTGATAAACTCAAGGCGATACAAAGTGGGATAGGTGATGGCGCAGTCACACAAATAGAAATCGACGTCTCAAGAAAAGACGTCGAGAAGCGTGTTTGTGGTCTGCAGAGTCGCATTAAAATACTCACCGTCGAGAATGAGAAACTGCGAAAAGATTCCTCTGGAAAGAAACTTGACTTAATCAAAATAGAAATGGAAGAAAAGATCAAAAGTGTTCGCGACGAGTTAGTAGTTATGCGACGACGTCTAGATTTAGTCGTTCGAGGGTACCAGAAGTCTTGAAAAACATTTTTTCGTTGTTAAAATGTTATTGTGTATTTTTTTATTGTTTTCAAATAGTTAATTAACTAATGCGTACTGATCAGTAATTTTAATTAAAGACTTACTATATAATACTTTATTACTATACAATACAATATATTGTATTGTATAGTATAATAGTATATACTATAATTATAGAATAAATATAGTATTTTCTAGTAATTAAGAAAGAAAGACAAAAGCTAAACAAATAAGTAAAAGAATTAATAAAAGGATTGACTAGATAGATTCACAAAAAGAGGGTTAGAACTGCGAATAGCACACAATGGGAAGAAGACCAGGAAGATGTTACAGAATGACTCGTGGGCATCCATACCCAAAGTCCAAATACTGCCGTGGTGTCCCCGACCCACGTATCAGACTTTTTGATATTGGAAACAGACAAGCGAGTGTCGACGAGTTTCCGTCATGTGTCCACATTGTTGGATTGGAACACGAAAACATTTCATCTGAAGCCATGGAAGCTGCTCGTGTCTCGATCAACAAAACTCTCATGAAATACGCTGGAAAAGATACTTATCACGTCAGAGTTAGAATTCATCCATATCACGTTCTCCGTATCAATAAGATGCTTTCGTGTGCTGGTGCCGATCGTCTGCAGACCGGTATGAGAGGTGCTTGGGGTAAGTCTTATGGCACATGCGCTCGTGTCAAAGTCAATCAGATCTTAGTCTCAGGAAGATGCAAGAAGGCATGCTTGGAGCCAATGATCAAGGCATTCAGACTCGCTTGCTACAAATTCCCAGGCAGACAAAAATTACTTGTCTCAAACAAATGGGGGTTCACTCCTTACAGACAAGAAGAGTTCCAAAAACTCAGAGAAGAAGGTAAAATCATCCCAGACGGTTCTTATTACAGATTAGTCACCCCAAAGGGTCCATTGCCAAAGGTTAATTAAGAAAGTCTCTTTGTTGGTTCCTTTCTAGTTTAGTATAGTATATGAGTAGTTTAGTATCTTGTAGACTCCAAATCGTTGAGTATAGTACATAGTATTATATTTTTATTATTATATATATAAAATATCTTTTGATGATTTTTAGGAAACACATGGAAAACGCCCGAAGTTGTAAAGACATTTTATATAATTTTATCATCAAAAACCCTAATGCGGTTTTTTGGGAATTATATAAATTAATTATAAAGTATAGTTTAAATAAAAACAAAATACATAACACTTTTAATTTTTGGTAAAAAATAAAAATAGAAGATTGATTTGAAGAACTCTTAATTTGAAATGTGAAAATTATAATAAATGAGAGGAATTAAGATTAATAAAAGTATAATTTACAAATTAATAATTTATAGTAAAAGAAGAACTAACATAACCCACAAAAAGAGAAAAATAGAACGGGTATTTTTAATGGATAAATCGATGCTATTTTGCCTTAACAATCTCGAGCAAAACGGGATATTCCCAATATTTCATTATTTTATTAAATGACAGAGCTCAACTTAAAAATCACAGTTTTGAGCGGGTGTGATTAATTTTGACAAACTACACAAACTAGTAATTAAAAGTATAAAATCTATACTGCACTTGTTTCAATAGGTAAATTTCTAACTCTTACTAGTAAAATAATCAAGGGTTGATAGGAACTGATTCTAATATAATAAAAATATAGTAATTTAATAATAAACGAATTAGAAATCAAATAGAAGTTCACACTTTTGAAGCGAAAAAAGACAACTTGTTCCCAAACCATCGCCCGTTTTGTTCCAACCCTTTTGAAAAAGAGAAAAGAGAAAAGAGAAGGGGATGAAAGCCCTAATTAACTGGGAAAAAGCATTCGTAACCAAAATGGACCCAACCAACCGCATGATGAGCCGACTTCAAGTGAATGATATGGTGGGGATGCCACAGATCTACGGTCAACCGCAGCCACAAGGAGTCTTTGTAGAGACCAAAGCCCCCGTCATGCAACAAAAGAAAGAGCGGAAGAAACGCGGCGAGCGGAAAGACGACCATCGCGTCGATCGTCATGAAGAGAACTTAAAGGAAATCGCACAAGAGATATATGTCCGGTGGAAGACCCGTAAGTTAGTGAAAGAGCGGAGCTACGATTTAGAACGCGCTGAAAAGAAAGCGGAGAAGCGATGGAAGAAAGAGACTGCCGAAGTGACGCGACTCTTTTACAAAGCTGCCATCATGGAAAACACTGTATTAGGTGATGAAGAGAGTATCGGTAAGAAGAGGAAGAAAGAGGCCAAAATCAAAGAAGACTGTCATCCTTATTTACTCTTCTGTAAAGAACATCGAGATGAATTGTCTGCAAAGTATGGAGGAAAAGAAGTCCTGTCTGTCTTGTCTGAGATGTGGAAGAAACTTGGACCGGAAGAGAAGAACAAATATATCGAAGTGGCAAAGAAAAACAAATTGAACAAAACAAAACAACAAGAGCAACAGCAACAACAAGGGATGATGACTATGCAAGACCAAGTCGGCATGCATCAACCCCCTCCTCAACAACAAGTCTTCATGTTTTAATGCTACTTGTTTCTTAGTTTTCTTTCTATAGTATATATACTCTTAATAAACTAAATGTATAGTTTAATTAAAATAACTAAAAAGGAACTACTAGATACTAATAATACTAATATTAATAATACTAATATTAATAATAATAAGAACAATCAATAGCAAATTACTTTTTGTGCTTCTTCGTCATTCTCTCGAGGACTCTGGCATTTCTTAACTTGTCACTTCCTTCAGTGAAGTCGGACTCTTTAAGCTTTCTCTTGCGTGGGCGAATCTTCTCACCCTTTAAGTTCTTGGAGAAGTTTCCTAAGGAGGCGGAAGACCTTTGAGCGATTTTGAGTAAAAGATCGGCATCTTTCCTTTTCATATAGCCATCCCGACCGATGGAGCCGGGGGTCATTTGTACTTTGGATAACATTTTGGAAAGCTTTTGACCTTTACGGGGCTTGGTCACTTGCTTCAATTTCTTCTCATTGACACCTTCGAAAGGATTGTCTGATAAACCAGCTTTATCTTCGACGATCCAGCCTTCATTTTCCTTTTTCATTTGCTTTGTAGAACCTTTTCCAAATCGTGGGACATAGGAATGAGTCTCTTGATTCCACACTTTCTGACTTCTTTTGGGCTTGACTATACCTTTGCGCTTGGCAAATAACTCCCATTTTGTGGGAGGCTTGGGGACTGGGACTTTCTTCTCGCGTGGGAATAACATCTCGGGAGTATCTAGAGAAACTACTTTTGCCATAAAAGGATCACTGCCGTCGTGGATGTCTTCACGAGAACGAATGTTCTGAATCAAGGCATTGGCTGCCTTCTGTGACATCGAACTAAAACACGCCCATTTGTCCTTTGAATACTCCTCAGCGTCGACATCCGCAGTGTTACTCACCATTAAATTACCAACATCTAACTCGTACGTGGAGTGCTTCGCTTCTTCTGTCTCCATTCTGCTTTTCTTTTTTGGTCTTTTTTTTTCAGGGTTTGACTTCCTTTAAAACGTCCATTGAACTCGTGGATTGCTCATGAGAACTAGTCAATTAAAAATTATAATAATTTAACTATTTTTTTAATATCTTTATTTAGCAAAGGATTTTGAACGGCATATTAATACTTTTGGTAAGTATTAGGGTTATTTCCATTTCATATTTATGAATATTGTAATCAATACCAATTATTGTCAACTGTAAATAAACTATTGTTAAATTATATTGAAACCATAAAAGTGGTTTACAAAATTCAATAAAGACGCAATAAGGAAATTCATTACCATCGACCAAATAGTCAATTTGCTCAAACAAAAAAATAAACTATAAGTGATAGTATACAAACTAAAGAAGGTAAGTAAAGTTGGGAGAGAGGATATTTAGGGTTGAACTGAAAAGTTTGCTACTTGCGAAATCACTCTATGGCTCGTGGAGATCGTCATCACTTGAAAAGACTTAATGCACCACACCACTGGATGTTGTCCAAGTTGGGAGGCACATTTGCACCAAAACCATCTGGAGGACCCCACGGGATGAAGGAGTGCCTTCCATTGATCTTGATCATGAGAAACAGATTGCACTATGCTTTGAACGCAAGAGAAGTCCAAATGATCTTGAAGAACAGAAACGTGAAAATTGACGGGAAGGTGAGAACTGACTCAAGATTCCCTGTTGGATTCATGGACGTCTTGTCTATCCCAAGAACCAAAGAGTACTTCAGACTTCTCTACAACACCAAGAGAAGATTCTGCCTTGTCCCATTGTCTAAAGAACAATCCACCATCAAGTTGTGCAAAGTCGAGAAGAGAACTCTCGGCACTTTTGGTATCCCATACATCATCACACACGACGGAAGAACCATCAGATACCCACACCCAGAAATTCAAGCCAATGATACCATCAAGCTTGATTTGGTCAACAACAAGATCGTCGATTTCGTCAAGTTCGACGTCGGAAACACAGCCATGTTGATTGGAGGAAACTCTATGGGAAGAATCGGTGTCGTCGTCAAGAGAGAAGTCCACCCAGGAAGCTTTGAAATTGTCCACATTAAGGACGCCAATGGTACCATCTTCACCACTAGACTTGCTAACGTCTTCATCATCGGTAAAGGAACTGAGACATTGGTCAACTTACCACTCGACCAAGGAATTAAGAAGCCTTTGATCAAGGCCGTCAACGAGAGAATTAGAAAGCTCAAATTGGCCAAACTCGGAAAGTTCAACAAATCCACTAAAGAACCAAAACAACTCAACCAGAACAAGCCAGTCGCTAAAAAGGAAGAGAAGGCTGAAGTCGAAGGTGAGAAGAAGGAAACTACTCAGCACAAGTTCAAGAGAACTGCTCCAGTCCCAAAGAAGGGTGCTAAGGGAAAGAAGGTCGCAGGCAGAAAGGTCGCTAAGAAGTAAGTGATGTCGTGAATTTATTTCAGGGTTCGGTATTTACCATTCTTTATAGTTATATTACTATTATTTTACTATTTGTTCTTCTGGATGACATTGTAAGCGGGTCTGATTAGTAATAGTAGTTTTAATAATAAAATATAGTATAGAATTGATTATAAAAATAGAATGCCACCTCATCAGACTTTGAACAGAAGTGTTAAGCTTTGAGCACTTTAAACGTCTTTAATGTAAGGAATGTCAGCAGACCGTTATTGCCGCCTTTTTACAGTTTTTCACGCCATCAGCGTTTTCGACGACGACGTCGAGACTCTTCTTCAGTTTGAAATAAGGCAAGTACCCGACTATTTTTGTTGGAGTTATTTCTTCATAACACACGATTTGTTTGTCACCTATGTATACAACAGGCTGCTCGCCAAATCCATTGCCAGTGATGGTGAAGAGCCCACTTTCATTTGCAGAATACTGGAGTGGAGTGATTGTTTCTATTTCGACGGTGGAGTCTATCCTAAGGAGAGCCTCACCAAATCCTTCAGTTGTTTTGATCTTCACCGTGCTTGGGGTTTGTACCGAGAATTTGAGTTCTCCCAAATTCTCGATTTTCTTCTTCGCCACTTTCTGCTTCGGCAGTTTGTCATCGGAATTTTCCTTGTGAATTTTGTCGAATAAGGAGAAGGTGGTGTTGCGTCTTTTCTCCTCTGTTGGTGTTGTTGTTGAGTCGCAATAATCAAAGCCATTTGAACCAGCCAACTTGAATACTCTGCTTTTACGGAACATAGTCATATTACTCTTCTTCTCGTCTACCAGTGGTTTGTTTTGGTCTTTAGTAGTAGTTATATTAGTGGGTGTTGATTGTGCCAGTGATAGTGTAGAGACTGTTTCCGTATTTTGTGGTACATCCAATTTTTTCGACTGGAGGGGAGTCATAGTACAAATATCTTTATCTTGTGGTTTCTCTTGTTTCTCATCATTTTTGTCACTTTCAAGGACACTCTTAACTTTCTCTCGTAAAGTCATTTTTGGTGTGTTTTCCATTTTCATGTCATTTAAAATTGTTTGAGGAATTTTTTCATTGTTTTCAATAAGCTCTTTGGGAGGGTCTTGGAGGTGTGAAGTTTCTCTTTGCTCCCCTTTTTGATCTTTCCGTTCAAAAACAGAGACTTCATCTTCATCACTGTCAGAAGACTCTTCGCTCTCACTTTCCTCCACACACTCGACTATTTGTATTTTGTGTTTATTGCCTATTGTCGATATCACTTTGATGATGTCCTTCTCCTTTTTGGCATCTATTAATTTGACTTTTTGGAGAACATCATCCGTCTTCTTGTTTTGCACTAAAACGTCCTTTTGAGAGATATCGAAGTATAAAATTGGCCCCGGAATATTAACTAACTTCTCTTTGTGATATATTTTAACGTCGACTACACACTCTTCTGGTCTAAATTGTGGAGGTATGTTAAAGAGTACAGTATGTCCATCAACTTGGAAATTAGTGTTAATCCCATTCACCACGATTCGAATATTTCTGTACGAACTTAATGTCACTTTTAACATCCCGCCCTTCAAAGGAATCATTGTACTTGACATGAATAGTACTTCTGGGTCGATGTCAAGCACCGAATCGATCTGTCCCAACACTTTCTCAAACGTTTTGATCTTATTGATCGACTCAAACAGTATATTTCTTTTGAAATAATTCATACTCCGCACTATATTCGACGACACCGTCGCCTCAGACCGCTTCTTCGGAGTATCAAAAACGTCGACCAAATGTTGTAAGTCGAGGACTTTCTGTGTTTTGGCTTTGACCACTTTAAGACTGTCCTCACATTTCTGGACATCCTTTTCTCGTGGAACATCCATCGAAAGGAGTTTGTCCATGAACAACTGGAATGTGAGGTATTCCTCCATGAAAGAGAGACACGTGTTGACAATTTGTGTTCGAAATATAACCACGGGATTCTCTTCGGCGTCCTTAGTTTGTTGTTTGAACTCAATTTCGTCGGTCACGGTACTAAAAATGAACTCGCAATATTTACACAGTGAAAATGTTCGCTCTTTGTGTGTCTTCTGGCGCACACAGTCCTGACATAGAATCGCGTCACAGCACTCACAAGTCATCACAAAGTTACTGTTGATACTTTTATTACACTCACTACACCTCTCTGATTTCAATATATTCACCATTGCAGTGGACAACCCACTTTTAACCTTTTCCATCCGACTCACGTCCTTGACAGGGGTGTTTAGCATCAACACCATTTTCTTCCTGCGGAGGTCTTCTTGCGTTCTAAACTCATTTCTACGCTCTTCAAAAATAATGTTATAATTATGCTTTGGAAGTGTCAAAGGTGTTGGACGGCAAAACGGGTACAAATACAGTGACTGATTCGACATTAAATTTTTGAGTTCATTTCAACTTGCTTTCTGTGGGTTGTGGAAGATTTTGTGCAACTTCTTCCTCCTTTGAAAACGTCCGTTATAATTCCAATAATATGAATTGATGTTTTTGTTTGGGAAAGAAATGATGAGTAAAAATACTATATTTCATTGATAACTAATAATACATTAATAAAATATAATTCTTATGATAAAATCATTTTATTTAACGTATTTATTTCCATTAAAATTTCTTGTTTTTCTTATTTTAATTAAAGTGTATTTGAATATTTTGTTGTTCTATTCTTATAAAAACATTATTTATTTTTTACAATTTCTTTCTTATACTTTCTAATAAAAATAAGTGAGAGAATTAGTTAGTTATAAAAACTATATTTGAAAAAAAGAAGTTAGTTTATCAAATCTCATCCAACACAATTCATTTGGTTTAAAAAAGTGTTAATATCGAGTTTATTAAATACTTTTCCTAAAATTTAGAAGTTTATTATTTTAATAAAAATATACAACCCAAAAAAGGGAAGAACATTAAAAATTTTCTATATATCTCTACAATAAGTATTTTAAATGTAAAAAGATTTAATTAATCTTTATAATTAAATCTTTAATTTAATTCAACAAGAACAAAAACAAAATAATGAGTTACTTTTTATCAACAGTTGTAATTTTTGGTTTTGGTTTTTCTTGGTTCTCCATCGAATTTTTCTTGATGATCCTTTCATTGAATTGTCTGAGAAACTCCACACGACCTTCATGTGGGACTATCTCGTCTATACACACCTTTGACTTTGACAAGGAGTCCAAGTCAATTTCAATATTCTGTTTTGGTTTGTTAACAAAGATCCTTTGACTGAGCCGCCTCGGAGAAGGTTTTGGTTCGCACACCTCTTCGGATTTTCTTTCAAAGATCGTTTTCATTTGTTTCACATCCGTTCGGTGTTCTGTTTCTTGAGTTTCTTTTAAGTCTTTAAATACACTTTCAACGCCTTCTGGTGTCCGTTCCGGTTGTATTTCAAATGTGTGTTCCTTTGGTTGTGTATACTCAAGTTCAATAGGCTTGGAGTCCATACAGACTTGACTCCCAAGACTGTCTTTAAATGTTTCATCCGATGGTTTCTCGATATTTAGCATAGTATTTGTCTTTGTTCCTGTATCGGAGTTATCGGAATTACTTTCGGAGTTGTTTGTACTCTTCTTTTCATCTTCTTTGAACTCTTCAAACTTCTCGGGCTCTTGATGGGTCCCAGCTTTAGGCATTTCGAGTGTATCGTTGTTCACCAAGACGCCATCAATATACAATTTAATTTGCTCCACCCCTCCTGGTGTTCTTGTGTGTGATCGGAGTGTCTTGTTTAGTGTTTTCGATGATTTGTGAATGGGTGAAGTCAACACTTCATTTGGATTGAAGAGTCTGTCCACCTTCTGCTTTCCTGTAATAAAGTTGACGTCCTTTGTTGTGTCTGGCACTTCTATTTTGTCTTTATGCTTCAAACTGTTGTGTCTTCTAAAGAGATTATGGATCTTATGTCCCGAATCCTCTCTATCACTCATACATCCCGTTTTCTTCTGTTTTTCTCTTGGTGTTTGTGTGTCGTTATCAGACAGCAGCGTTTCTTGGTCACATGGGAAACACGCAGCATCTGAAATTGTGTTTGTTTGTGGCGACTCTTTTGGTTTCGTGGGCTCACTGAATCGACATAACACAGTCTTCCCAATAGAATGTTTTTTCAATTGAACATCTTCAAAAGGCGGAGAGTCCTTGTGCATCTCAAGTTGTTCACTTCCATACAATTTAACATTTGGATTGATTTCTCGTGTCCTCCCGATCTTCTCTATTTCATTCTCTGTTCGACACTTTTGAACTCGTGTTCCAAACGTCTTTGTCTCACTCAGTCGAGGGGTGCTTTCTCCAGACAACGTCCCTTTAGTGTGTGTACACGAGTCAAGTTCCAACTTCATCCCTTTGGCACTTGACATCGACCGGCGCTTTTTAGTATCTCTACAAATAGTATTCTGACACGCAACACAACACTTCTCGTCGTGGTTCCAACACCTCGGACACACAAATAATTTGCATTTTTTGCAGTACATTTTCTTCCTCCTTCGCGTGCAATCCACTCCACATCTTGTGCAGTTGGTTATATCGGAAGATTGCACTACTAATGGCGAACATAAAAACTCCTTTTTATCAATTTTCAAAAGGACATTTGTTATCGAATTTTTGAATTGAGTGAGGGCGTCTTCTGACTCGAATTCTATTAAACACGATTTGACGTTACTGAAGATCTGCACCGCCTTTGGTTTGTCAATTTCGAAGAATTTGAATTTGTCGAGTTCCACTACATATCGTATTTTGAGGAGTCTGTCCTCTCTCTTTGTCAAGAGCAAACAGTCTGAGAGTAAGAAGAGAACTCTCTTCTCTGCGCCGTTATGGGTGACTTGTGTAATTTTCTTTTGCATGATAAATCGTCGATTTTCCTTGACCAACTCGAATTTCTCCTTCTTCGAAAACAAGCATCGGAGACTTTCAAGCTCCACTATACTTCTCTCGTTTAACATCTTTTTGTTGATTTCTGTAACGACGTTTCCTATCGAAGTGTACGCTTTAGTGATATTATCAAAGTCGCAATGTGTTGGTGGCGTGAATTTAATCAACTGTTCCAGGAGTAATTTGTACCTTGGGAGTCTTTGGATCGGCATGATAAAGTAGTCGATCAAGTCAAGTTGTTGTTGCACGGAGACACTGTTTTGTATTTCCTCCATCAAGGAAGAGACCTTTGAGTCCGATTTAAGTCGTTTAATGTGTTCAGTGGCTTTGTCATGGTTGATGTAAAAGTTGGTGTAAGCCAAAAACGACTGGGCGTACCCGAGAAAGATCTTTCCGACTTCATTGTCGAGGTTGTTCTGTTTAAAACTATTCGAAAGGTTCATCACAAATTTCTTGTTACACGCAAAAACGTCATTGAAGGAGTAGAATATAGTCTCCACCTCTCTTGGGTTAATCTTTGAAGCATTCTTTAACATTGACGTTCTATAATTGTCACATATCGATAATGATTTGACATAGCTCTCTTCAGTACTCAAGATCTCTCTGACCACATTTTGTCGCTGGGACAAAACAGGACTGTTTTGGTTCGGGTTGGTCAAGTCCGATGATGATGACGAGCTGCTGCCGACTTGCATAACTTTTTTGAGTTTCGACTGCCCAACCTCAAAAAATATCAAAATAGTATTCACTTTAATTCTTTTTGCTATGTTTTATAGCTTTGACATTCGTTTTGAGCTCTGATTTTAGTGTGTTTCCTCGGCTTTAGATTTCTTTACAAAGCGAAATCTATACGGTACTAGTAATCTACTACATGTATGGTATTTGTTTTCTCACAAACTGACCACATGAGTATCTCTTTGGTCGTCTATTTTTGTGGCTGTTTTGTATAAATGGAAAAACTATAACAATTGGTATAATAAATCATAAATATACTATAAACAAAAGATCTAAATGTGAAGCTTTATTAAATTTAAAAAGCTTTTAAATACCCGATATTTTCGATATAAATAGGCTTAAAAAAAGGGTTAATAAAAAAATTATTGATAAACTAAACCGATCTTTTTGGTGAACTTTTTTCTGGTTTTGATGGCTGCTCACTTCTGTTGTATTTGTTTAAGTGTTGTGTCTTTTTGTTTAGAGTGGTTGTACAAATGACTTTTTATTTATATTTAAATAAAAAAATGATATATTTATATCATACTTACTATTAAATACTATAAACTGTATGGTTTTGTTTTTAAGTATAATAACAATAATAATAAAAACTATAACATGTAAGATTGTAATAAAAGTGAAATAGTAAGTAATTAGTAATAAAAATATTATTAAATATGGTTTGTTATAATGTTTGACAAACCATTCACTAAAATAGTCAATAACTTCAAAAAATTAAGAATTTTTCAATTAGACCAAATTTGTCTAACATTGTCAGTGATAAGTTATATTTAAGAAATAACGAAAGTTTAGTATATTGTCGATTTATATTTCAAAATGAAAAACTATGTTTAATACTTTTTATTCCAAAAAATAATTATAAAATAGTATATTTAAATATTAATTAATTGACAGTTGAAAACAAAAATTACACAAAACAAAATACAAGTTGTAAAAAAACAATAGAAAGTGAAGTGAATTGACCAAAAAGATTTTTTGTTTATTTTGATTAAATAATGTTTAGAATTTGGAATAATTAAACATTTCATTTTTTGGCACATTAGCATTTTGTATATAATTTCAGGTTCATGTGTACCTCATATTATTACAAAGGTATTCCAAAGTACATCCTTCAAAGTGTTTCTATTTGAAATTGTTGTATAGTTATGGCAATCAATTGAAGTATTTACCACAAGGATATAATTTAAATTAATTGTGGTGAATTTAAAAACTAATAATTATAACCGACACTTAAAATAACATTAAAGTGTTTATTGTTATTAATCTGTTAATGTAGTAAATATAGTAAAAATAATTATAAATACTAATAAAAAAATGTCAACAATTAAAAAACTAACAATAGATTTAAATAATAATAATATTTTTTATTAGTATAATATAATAAAAAAACTCAGTTTTTATAATAAAATTAAGTAAAAATTAAATAGTTAAATTGAATATTATAAATAATTATAAATGATGATACAAGAAAATAGTAATAAATATGATTTGAATATAATAAATCTCTAGTAAAAATGGAAGATGTGTGGAATATGAAGAAGTTTCATATCCAACTGCAAATAAGTTGTGAATGTCTATTCGTATATGCCCATCACTCTTGTCTTGTGATTTCTCCCGCCTTGGCGAGGAGTCAAAAGCAGTTTTATCTGCTGGAGCGGATGAGTTACACGTGGATGTGATGGACGGGCACTTTGTCCCCAATTTGACACTTGGTGCGCCGATAGTCAAGTGTCTCCACGCAGCACTCCCACACGCGTTTTTAGATTGCCATTTGATGATAGAAGACCCCAAAAGATGGGCGATGGATTACGTCAATGCCGGTGCGTCGCTTGTGACTTTCCACATTGAAGCGGTCAAAGACATTTCCGAGGCGGAGGAAGTCATCGAGATCTTACATTCACACAACGTTAAAGCCGGTGTTTCTCTTAAACCAAAAACTCCTGTCAGTTCCGTTGAAAAGATTCTTGACAAAATCGATAGAGTACTCGTAATGACGGTAGAGCCCGGATTTGGGGGACAATCTTTCATGGCGGATATGATGCCAAAAGTCGAGGAGATTAGAAAGAACCACATAAACCTCGACATCCAGGTCGACGGGGGGATTTCCGATAAAACAATTGGAGTTGCTAAAACAGCGGGGGCCACTTCTTTTGTTGCGGGATCGTATGTGTTCAAGGCAAAAGACTATAAAATCCCAATTGACGCACTTAGAAATAATTAAATTGATTTTAATTTATTACATTTGATACAATTAAATAACGTCATATAGTTTCATTTATAATAAATTTTAAAACCATATAGTTTGAATTAATTAATTAATTTGTATTAACAAATTGTTTTAAAAGTGTAGTTGTTTAAAATAATTGTAAAAAAAACCTTTATTGTGATTCGTTTTTTAAAGTAAAAAACGACGAAAAGAAAAAAACTATAAATAACTTGGAAAAAAACCAACACTTAAAACATTGTTTTTTAACAGTATCTTTTCAGGTTCTTTTCAAACCCAAACATCCTGTTTATTTGATTTATTTGTGACTACTTTATTAAACAAAAAATAATGAATCAAATAGGTTTTTAAAGTAAACAATTTATAGTTTCTTCTTATCATTTATTTTAACCATTTTATTAATTCAATTATTAAATTAAATTAAAAACACTTTTAAGAAAAAAAAGTTTGCCAATTAACAATAATAAAAAAAAATAAGAAGAAAAAACAAATTATTCCCAAAAATGTATAACAATCTGAAAATTTATAGAATTATTATGTTATTATTAGATTAATAAATAATAATAAGATACAGAATCATAATTATAATAAATGAAATAATAGTAATATTTTAATTTATTATAATATTGATCTTCAAAATTGCCAACCCAATTGAACAAATTCATAATAAATTATACTATTTTTAAAACAATATTCGTCATTTGTGTTGCCTTTTTTACCCTCAATATTTCGTCGTTTTGTTGGTCATAATTGTGAACTAAAGATGTTTTCTATGTTTTTGATCCTTTATTGTTTTCAAAAGGGGAAAATAAATAGAAAACTGCCGACTTTCTGTTGCGGCTTTTTTACTGTTTTTGAAAAAAAACAGTTTTTCGTTAACTTATAACGTCATCTTTCACAAATAAATCCATTGTTCAATAAAAAACAAAGGATGGTCATTTTTAAATAAAAAATACCAAAACATAGAGTCAATAAAGAACAATTAGCATTGAGGTCTGCGATAGAAACAAAAACTTAACAAAACTTGTTACCGACATGAGACAACCAGTAAAATATAAGAGACAACGGTTTGTTTTTGATTCATTACTTTCTCATCTTTACGTAAATACATCAGAAGTTTAATTATGAAGTGTGTTCGATTTGAATTCTGAAGAAAACATGGTATTACTATTTTTATTAAAGATTATAATTACCTTATAGTTTTATTAACTCGTATTTTCAAACGAATACGTGGATACCTTATTAATAAAAAGAATAAAGAAAACACAAAAGAAAGACAACAGTAATTAGATGATTCAACTTTTTTCAATTTGTCAAATGAATAATTCAATTAAAAAAATAAATTTTGTTTTTAATAAACAATAATAATCAACTTAACCCGACTAATGAATATACTCAGTCCTAGATTTCTCTTCACCAATTAAATGTTATAATAGTACTTCAATACAAATAATTTCAAATATTCAACAAATTTAATATGGTGTTTTTCGTCTTTATTGATAATAGAACCATCATGTTCCATACTTAAAATCTACACAACTGTTCTGGACACAGTTAGGAAAAGACTATTACTGTTTTTTATAAAAGTTAATTTTAATGGAGCTAAAAAATAACACAGAAACACAATCTCATATTTGGGAAACCATTTCTATTCACTTAATATTATAACCAAATAGTAAAAACAACTATTCATTTTCACTGTTTTTTATTCTTTCCCCATTATCAAAAACTATATTTAACAACAAAATCAACTATAAAATATAGTATAATCATTCGGCTTCTCTGAAAACAAATTCGACATTTTTTTGGATTAAAAATTCCAAAACTTTTCAAATCAACATCACAGAAAACATTAAAACAAAAAGTCCGTTTTTTTCCATATGAAGTTCATTTGATGATCTTCCTTTTTCAAAGATTCATGTTAGACAACCGCTCCACGTTATTTAACGTAGCAGTAACTTTGATTATACTTCTCTTAAGTTCACTGGTACGTTCAAATACATCCAAATGTTCTTCTGGTTGTATTACAGACTGTTTGACTGATTACACATGCACAGGGTGTAGTGATGGTTATGACAATGATACGTCGTGTTTGCATTGTACTCTCTATGATGTATTTGAACCTATTGGAGATGCAAACCCACTCTATGTTAAAGAAGACGGCGTTTGTGTGAAACCAAAGAACTACATCACTAAAGTCGATTATCTCCCAGACAGTGGAATTATACACTTGGAACCATACAAACATGTCACTGTCGAATTCACATCAGAGACACCTTACGATCGAGGACCCTGTGTTATCCGTGGAGATACACAACGAAACTACAGAAGAGGATTTTGGTTTGAAGCAGACAAAGACGCCTACAATGGTACTTATGACAAAATTAGAATGACCGTTTTAACCACGTCTGGCGCACTACAGACGATTTATATCCATTGCTCTGACACTCCAAAAGAAGATTCAAATGTTAACTGCTACGCTCAACAAGTCGTTTCCCCCAATTCAGAGAGCAATTTCCTTCAGATCCCCATCGAGAGAGACTCTGATAATAGAAAGTATTACTTCTGGGTCTTTATTGAGGAATTTAAAGACACGACCCTTGACATCTCACTTGATCCAGTAATGGTAGAAAAGGATTTGGAGACGTTCAAATTGGACCAGCAAAAATTCGACACTCTAATTAGTACAAATACACCACTTCGCGTCGTCTTTAATAACAGAGAAGAGGGTAAGAACATATTTCCAGTGTGTGCACCGACCTTCCAATTAAGAAGCATTTTCTTCAATGTTGAGTTCGCTTCGAATTACTCCCTTGTGATTTCCACATTAGAGGAAAACAGACTGAGATACCTTCAAGAATATGGCACAGATAACAATGGGAGTTACTGGTGTATCAGTCTCTGGGAAGGAAAGCGGTTTGGCGCGTTAATTAAAGAGGGGAATGAAAATGGACTTGTTGTGCGACTCTCAGGGACGGAGCAGACCTCCAGTCGGTTTTTCTGTCTGATGAGCCAAGAACAAGACTTGGATATTCCAGTCTCGTTTTATGCGATTTGCCCGAACCACTGCAACGAAGCGAATGGACAGGGCTACTGCTCGAAAGAAGAGCTCAAATGTTTGTGCAAAGAATCGTATGGTGGACCTGACTGTCGCAAGTTGTGTTATTATAATGGTGCATTTACTATTGATTCGACAAACAAGTGTATGATAGGGACAATTGGGTGTGACTATGACTGTTTGTGCACCGCGGGATATAGTGTGCGCAACCATTTGTGTGTATCTGACACGTGCCTCTCTGGGAATAAACTTGATATAGAACAGTGTCTGAGAGGAAGTGAGGGGTGTGGAGTCAATTGTTATTGTGCGAGTGGGTACAAATCCAAGAACGGCTATTGCATCTTGGAGACGTGTGGTAATGGCAAAAGAGATGGAGGGGAAGAGTGCGACAATTCGACGAATTGCAATTTCCGATGCAAGTGTGATGAGGGATACATCTGGAGCGACAAGACACAGAAATGCGACACCACCTCTTTTCCAGTGTATGGGTGGATCCTTATTGCATTTGGGTGTTTCCTCTTTGTCATTGCCTGTGTGGTGATTATATTGGTGTTAGTACTTAAAGTGAACAAAAGAATTGATATGAATGTTGTGAAACTCCAACAGCCAGAATACTATTATAATATTTTGGGCTCAATATCACAGAAGCCGTCGAAAGAGTCCAAGTTTCTTATCAGCCCCACAGAATTGGGCTTTGGAAATGATAATCACGTCACGGAAGTGTTTGATACACGATATGAAAAAATAACATTGAGGAATTACTCCAAGAACAAATACATGATGGTCATCTTCCACACGCCGAACAACCCGAAATACGTCTTCCACTTTGATAAACAAGTAGAGATCATGTATCCGAATTTTGAGAAGGAAACTGTTTGCTTTATGACGTTGCACTGCACTTCTCGAATTCGAGACATGAAGATCAATTACACTGTCTGGTTTTCTAAGAACAAATCCACGTTACTACAAATAGCGGAGCTTCTGAAGGACAAGAACTTTGAGAGCTGGAGTCCGTCCGATCAATCCGAGTATCAGAAATTGATCAAAAATGTCATCCACAGGTATCACAATAATATCACCATCATCACTGAGGCTGCAAGCTCGACGCATCTGGATATGGACGAGTTAAATGTGAGAGAAAATCCAATAGCAGAAGGTGCGATGGGTAAGGTGTTTGTGGGGAGCTATCGAAGTCTTCCCGTAGCGATTAAACGGTTTAGATGGGAAGACTTGGACACGAACGAGATGGAGGACTTGAAGAAGAGTGTGATTCAAGAATGCCTGATCATGAAAAAGTTGCGTAATCCGTTTGTGGCCAATTACATTGGGTCTGTCACATACATTCCACAGGTCTCAATGGTCATCCAATTTTTCGTCTTGGGATCACTTGGAGAGTACTTACTCAAGTCGAAACCCGACTACATCAAGCTTCCATATAAACTGAAATTGAAAATGCTGTTTGACGCCTCCCGTGGGATGCAGTTTCTCCACGACAACAAGATCATGCATTTGGACTTGAAGCCGGACAATTTATTGGTGAACTCGCTGTTTGCAGAGAGCGCTTGCTGTGTCAAAATTACGGACTTTGGGACCTCACGATTCATGAAGAAGAACACGAAGGACAAAGAAAGAGGACTTGGCACACCACTCTACTTGGCGCCCGAGTGTTTTGATGATGAATACTCGAATGAGAGCGACGTGTACTCTTTTGGTATTATGGCCTGGGAAGTCTTTTACCAAGAAGAGCCGTACAACAATTTGAAGAGCTTGTTTGACATCAAGAATTACGTGAAAGAAGGGAAGCGACTCTTCATTGACGAGAAGATGCCACTTACATTGAAAAACACGATAGAGAAGTGTTGGAAGCAAAGCAAGACTGAAAGAGGAGACTTTGAGAATGTCAGCAAAAATTTTGTGAAGATGATAGACGAAGCGGATAACTGGGGAGAACTTGATAACGGTGTGAATTACGAAGAAATCAAAAATGTCATTGAACGAAGGAACAAGCGACTTGAACAATTGTTGGAAGACGACGGTGTTGACGAGAAGTGAAGGTGGTGTGTTTTTAACTCAGTTGTATTTTGATTGTTTAGTCTGAATGGATACGTATCTATTTAATAATAGATATCTATCTATCTATTTAATAATCATCATATTAATACATCCTATTAATTCATATGTATATGGAATTCTTCGATAAGAACGCAACATAAAATTAATTAAAAGCTGAGGCTATTGTGTCAGAGACATCAAGAACTAAACTGAGGAAGAAATAAACCACCCCGATAGCGAAAAACATGACACCAAGTAGTATGACTATTACACTACCGACTACGAGCCACTTTGATTTCTCGCCATACACTAAACAAATAACACCGGGCAAGAAGTATATAAGAATAACACCACAGACGCCATTGAACTCAATAAGTATATCATCCATCCAAAACAGAGAGGCTAAAAGTCCAGAGAATGAAGTGAAAATGAAGCAAATAATAGAGTGGCGAAGCACGGAGGGCTGCCACTCGGAGAAATATTGTTCATCGATCATATCATGAATAAAGGTGAATTGGGATGGGATTGCGAGAATGAAAGCGGCGATGAACAAACTGGCGACGATTGCGTCGATAGCGAATAAGGCGTTGTTGGAGTCATAGAACTCGGGTGGGTAGAACAACATTGGGATTGCGTGTGTCTGTCCGTATAAGGTCGAATAGACGACATTGCCATATATAATTGCGTATATCCCAATAGTGAACAGTGCACTAATTAAAGCAGAGAATTTGACTTTATTCGACGCATCGATCGACGGAGAGATCAGCGACAGATTGTTGTGTGTTGCAAAGATGCAAATGAAGAAGGGGAATATCGAAACCCCATCACCGACACTAAAGTACTTCCGCGCTAACTCCGTTTTGATCGCGTCGTGTTCTTCCATGGTATTGAAATAACTTAAATGACCCACGGCAGACACCAGCAACGCTATATAACAGAAGAGCGTCATGAGTCGAGAGTGCACTAATAACTTTGTTAACAACGGGAATGACGACAACACGGAAAACACAAAGACGACGAAGTGAATGCCAACTTTGAGTGTTGCGTTTGATGTCCACCAGACGCCGTGGACTTGATCACCTCGAGCATTATTCAGCAAAAACTCCAAAAATGCGGAAATGAGTGTGATGTATACTGCAATTTGTACGATGTTGTATACCATTTGTATCACCTTCGTAAATGTTCTCAACGAATTGCCACCAAACCGCCAGGCTATTTCATAAATACTGTCAAACTGCGCTTGGAGGTTGATTCGGTAGAAGAGATAGACCGTGAAAAAAGATATCAAAACGGCTAATAACACTAACACACTGCCATACCACTGTGTCGCGTATTTGATTGCTAACGGAGTCACTATTATTTCTGGGCCAAGGAGCAAGAGAATATTTTTGTAGTACAGCATCATCCACGTCTTCACATTTAACATCCCACACTGCCATTTTCAGTTTCTTTGTTTCATTTGAATTATAATTCTAATAATAATTACAGTCCAATAAGGAATTCGATTCTTTATGGAGCTTTTCTATTGTCAGGTATAGTATCTGTTAATAGTAAGAGAACCATTGTATTTGATTTGATAAACAAACAAATTTATAATACTATTATATTAGATTGTTATATTAATATATTTAGTAATTCGAAATGTATTTATATTTATTGTTTATGATTTATTAAAGTATTCTATATATATGTGTACTATTTTAATAGTATTTAAATACTAAAAATACTATAAAAAGTTGATTACATATTGTCTTGTTCAAAAGCATCTATTCTCGCATCCACCTCGTCAAGCATAAGATCTATTCTCGCAATAACTCGTTGCAATCCTTCGAACTCTTCCTTTGAAATGGCGACTTTCTCTAACACTGCAATTCCTTCAACAACAAAGTTCATTCCTTCTTTAATTTGTTCAAACAACGTCTTGTACTCTTCTAAGTGGTAGACCTCATATTTGTTAAAGAATGTTTTGACCACTTTCATGATGTTCATTCCTTCAAAAACATTTGGCTTTCCTATTTTCACCTCTTTGACGCCATACACAAAAATTTCGATGCGATTTAAAAGTTTCTCAAGCACCTTCGTCGTGTTGTCTGCACTCCTCTTACTTTCGTCAAGAAAGTTAAACACTTCGTTCTTCCTTCGGACTATTTCTTCGGTCATGATTGCAATCGCGTTCAGTGTCACGTTTGTCTCCTTCACAACTTGGAGTCTCTTCATCACACCCGGCAGCACAAAATCAGTTTCCACAATTAATCTGTTGACAGTCCACCCATCGACCCCTTCGAAATTTTTCTCTTCAAACTGTGAGTTCTTCTTCAACTCGTCGTAGTAAAATTTGTTGCAACACTTTGACCTCACGTTTTCAAAAACGGGGTTTAATGGAGTCCACACAATGTAGTATTGATCGTCTGGACCATTTGTAACAGCGTCGTTGACTTGGTCCAAAGTTCTTAAGATGTGGGTCTCTCCTTTGAAGTTCTTGGGCACAGTTTCTTTGACTTCTTTCAGCAAGTACGACATCCTTTCCTTTGAACTGGAGTACACAAATGAATTGCCGTCCAAGTGTTTGTCGATGTTTGTACCAAAAAATCGGACATAGTAAAATTGCAACACGCCAGAGACACCATCCCGATTCTGTGCGACCATCATCTCATACATTTTGTTCACGTACTCGTGCTTTGCTGTAAGTTCTCTATACCGTTTTTTACTCACGTAATATGGAACAACCAAATTGGCCAATAGAAGACCATACACAGGGTATTTCCCATCCTCAAAATCGTTACAAGCACTGTTGACGTGTTCAATTAAAGTATCCACCGATATGTTCGACGCAAATTGCGAGTCTACGACACCAACACTGTTCCTCGCAAACGTCCCAAGCCGGTCTTTGATGGTTTTCAAATCAAACCGCAAATCCTCTGGTAACAAGTTGTTGACATAAATCACTAAGTGCACTTCACACAGCCCAGCTTCCACATACTGCAGCTTCTTTCTGTGTTGTTGCGCTAATTTAGACATCCACGTCATGTGGAGTTGTGGTGCGGAGATGTAGTCCATAGCAAATTGGTAGTACAACTCGAGTATGTATTGTGTATCTGTGGACTGGACCTTCTTCGAGTTCAAAGTATCCAAGTTCTCGACTATACTAATGATGTTAGTCTGTACATTAGTCAGACATCGGCTGAACGAGTCTCTTTGCCCGTATGAAAGGTCATAAAAACAGTCGATTTTCACACATTTCTTCTCATCAAAAAACGCGCCAACAATGTCCAACAAGTCATCTCCCTTTCTCGACGAAAATTGAGTTATTTGTTGTAACGCAACGCCCCCCGTCTTCCTGTTAAATGGAATAATCGAAATTCGTGGACTCTTTAACTCGCACGTGTCGTGGTTAATCCCAATGTTCTGTGCTCGTATTAAAACAGTTTGTTCGTTTGTTTCAAATTTGCAATATCTGTTCAACTTGGTGACATGTTCTTTGTCCAGTGCAAAAAGTTTCTCCGACAATTCCGTCGATCGGGTGACTTTCTCGTTGTCCAGTGTCCCCTTTGTCGTGTCTGTAATCTCAAAGAACTCCTTGTACATTTGTGCATACAAATTTCTTTTGTTCTCAAGTTCCTTCTCAAGCAAATACTGATCAACGTAGATCGAAACAGTCATATCAAGCTTCTCAAAGTCGTTTGAATTCACCTTTTCAAAGAGCTTAAACCCTAATGCCTCCATGTTAAAGTTCACCGAATTTTTGGTGTTTTTATAACACTCTTTCTCTTTCAAAAGCTCTTTGGAGATGTTACTGCATTCTTCGTACTCCTTCTCTACACCATCTTCAGTCTCTTTCAAATATCTATAAACACTCGCCATGATCCCCAAATAGTCATTCGACTCTTTCATGGCAACTTTATTTAATGCCAAATAAATGCCATCCCACACATAGATGTCGACTACTTTGATATTGAATGTGCGCTCTTTTTCATACCACAGCTTCATCTGTTCAATTCGGGTGTTGTTCTCTTTAACTATGCCACTGTACTTACTCAACCACTCAACACAGCCAATCACCTCGTTAATGGTCTCTTCCCAACTCCCAAAGGAAACATCCCACTCCGGGCGTAAGCACCCACTTTTGGTCTTCTTTGCTTCCAAAGACGCCAAATCCGCTTTCACTGTTTTTAACATCATTTTGTACTTCTCTTGTGCTCGATTAAAAAAGTTCTCACCAATTGGTCTTGCGCATAAGTCGCATTGTATTTCAAAGTACTGTTGTTCCAAGTCTGTTTCAAACTTCCGAATTTTTCTTGCGTATCTTTCGTTCTCCGACAAATAACACGTCTGCGACTGTAAGCAGATGTGTGCATTCTTAATCCGCGATTGGTGCAATGTAACCACTCTTTTAGTTCCTTCGGTGATTTCTTCCGTTGTAATCGGAAACAGTGGATTTGCTTCGAGTTGGTACACACGCAAGATTTCATCAAACTTGGAGTACCGCACGATCAGCTTTTTGATCTCCTCACATCGCAAAGTTTGTTGTCCCTCCAACTCCTCGATTTTGAGGATTAACTCATTCTCACTTAACTCAAAAACTTGGTCGACCTCTGTCGTTTCTATTTTCATGTTGGACACAATCCATTGTATTATTTGTTCCCCTATTTCTTTGTTCTTTCGACACCCTTCAACAAGTTCAAAAACATCTCGTTTGTCCACCTCACAATGTTCTTCCAACTGACGCATTTTAGCACAACACATGCCATACCTCTCCACCATCACCTCCCGCTTCTCCCCGAAAAACCCTTTGAAGACGTCACACGTCCTTTCAACTTTTCTTGAAATCAATGAGATCCAATTTTCAATCATCTTGAAATTGCGGTTTGATGCAAGAAGCGCTCCAATGTCACTTTTCATCTGGACATACCCATTTATCACAGACGGAACCGAGTTTAATACAAGGTCTAAAACTCCCTCGTACATCAAGATACAGTCCATTACAAATATGAAGAATGCATCCAAATCACCAGAGTCAATGGCGTCGTATATTTGATGTACCATAATAAGTGACTTGTTACGACGAATACCCTCTTCTAATAGCAAGTCGACACACTTGGACAGTCGAGTATCAAAACACAAGTTATATTGTTGGTACAAACTCCCAAGTTGTGTGATCAAAGTCTTCACGTTCTTTACTTCATTGAGTTGAAGTTCGGAGAGTGCATTTGTCGCATTCACGACAGTTGAAATGGTGTTTCCCGTCACTGTAAAATTCATCTTACAGAAGAACAAAATCAAGTTGTTCCCAACAGACCGCTCAGCACTTTCGTCCGAATTTGAAAGTTCCAGAAATCGTTTTACCAAATTTTTTGTCAAGAGATTTTGCCGTGTGAAGATAAAGTTTCTGTGGAATGACACAATCGACCGAATGAAGTCGTAAATAGAGACCAAAAACAATCGCGACTTTTTGCACGTGAAGAATTCAACAGAGACAAGCTCTTGGACTCTTTCAAGCGCCGGCGTGGGCTCTTCGGTTAACAAAACTTTCATCATCACTTCACTGTAATCCATCGAGATAAGTAATATTTCAAGTATGAGAAACTCGACTTTCATGTCGCTTTTTGCCAAGTTTGTCTGGTTCTCCGCCTCATCCTTTAACTTAGAAAACACGCTTGAATCCTCGCTGTCATTTGTAATAGATGTTCTTGGATTGGACTCAAAACTGGAAGGTGAATGCTCTTCTTTCATGGAACTCTTGAGCTTCGACGAGAATCTCTTTGTTGCGAAATTTCCAAGTCTCGAGAAACTCTTCGATGGTCCTGGTGTTCTCATTGGTGAACTTATGATTGGTGTTGTTGCTGTTCTTACTTGTGAGAGCGAGGAGTTATATCGATTGAATAACAAGAGGAGTTCTTTCAAGTAAATTCCACGAGAGTTTGGAATGAAAATCATTGGGAAATTCGTGAAAAGTAAAAGCGCCTTTCTGATATGTGAAAGTAGTGTATATAAGAGTGAAGGTAAGAAGTCGGAGACCAACCACTGGTCTATTAAAGTGTCTCTCAAATTTTTCAAAATAAAGAAGAAGATGACATAAAGTGTTTCAATGTCATACAAATCCGAGTAACTATCCTTCTCTCTCCACTCATTCAACTTATCGGATTCGTCTAACATGAACAACACAAATGGAAATAACATGCTGAATATCTTGTTGCGTTCGTTTTGTTTTTGATTCTTATTGTAATTAACATCCAAGTCTATTTTGTTCATCACTATCACCAACTCGTGGAGTGCTAATCGACTGATATTCTTGTTGTTGTTCATAATCAACAGGAAAAACTGTCTGAGTATTATATACATCATCGCGTGTCTCTCCGCTAACAAGTCATTCAATTTATTAATCTCTTTTATTTCAAGTACTTGTGGTCCATTGATGGTGTACACTTTCTCGTCCTCAGCAAGCACTGCAACAAATTCAAGTCGTAATAAATGCGAGAAGGAGTCAATCATCCCATTCGGGTTCTTCTCAATTGCAATCAAATTGTCCAAATGAGTGTCGATCAGTCGTGTCACTTCCCCTCGTTTAAATAGACATGAAAAGTCTCGAATGAATTCTGCATAAAAGAGATTTGCTTCTCTTATTGATATTTCGCTCGCTAAATTCTCTGTGGAGCAATACACAATGAACTCCGAAAACATGTTAATATGTTTGAATGTATTAAAAGCCAATTTGTATCCAGTTTCGGTCTTAAAGTACTCGTGGTAATTCTTCAATTCAAACACGCCATTCTCTTGATAAAACCCAATCAACGACTTTAAGTAAATAGAAAAGATTATCCACATATATTTCAGTCTTTCTTTGGCCTCAGTCTCCGTCTTGTCAAAGAGTATTGGCATACAAAAGATTAGAAATTGACACGGGTAGTTCCCCTTCTCTGTTTTTATTGGTACAAAGTGGTTAATAGCATACACTATATTCGAGTTTTTATACAACATGCATCTCTCATTCCCATCATCTGTCCTATTTTTATCCATGATCCTAAATATTCTAAAGAGTCCAAACAACTCCTCTCTATTTCTCTCTTCTAGTATATTAACAACTCTCTTCATCACAAGAGGAAGAAAATGGATGAAGTCGGGGTAAAATTCGGCGTCGACTACCGTCTCGACGGAAGTCTTGGTGTATATGAAATTCGATATTTCCTGTTCAAGTGGATAGATACTTGAAACCACATTTATGTTGACTTTCAAGTTCATGTTGGAAATGTCATAATACTCCACTTCCTCTAAATACCCGTCGACCATTTCTTTCAGTATAGGAATTGTGTGCTCTTTTGTTCTAATAATTTCATTGTTTTCATACAACATCATAATTCCATAATACGACTTTCCTTCCGTTCCATCTTCTGTGTTAATGTCGCGTATTTGGAAGAGTAAATGATGTTTCTCGTTGAGTGGAAACGGCAATTCAATTTTGATCTCGTCGGTGAAATGCCCGTTCTTGTCATTCGACACTGAAGTTGTGAATGAGGAACATAACTCATCATCAGTCCCACTCGTGTTTGGATAGACCACACTGAGACAACTCTTACCAACAACAAACCGGTCATCAGTCTCCCTCACATACACTGTAATCACAATACCAGACTTCTTCCGTTCTTTACTTAAAACAACTTCAGTGGGGTAGACAAACAACTTGTTTTCATAAGAGTTAAAAGTCTCCTCTATGTGTGTCAAGTCGATGTTTGTCATCATTTTAATACGTTCAACCATGTTGCTTTTGTTTGGTTGATACACTTTGGTCAACCCATCGCAATGTTCATACTTCTCGCTTTCATTCCTTAAACTGAACTCAAAGTTCCCACAGATTTTCAGTCGCTCCATTTCTCTTATCAACGAGTAAATGTCCTTTAAATCACTTGTTGGTTTGTAGATATTCATCTCGTAGTTTTCCATGTAATGGATCGACCCGCCACCAATTAACAGAAGTTGATAGAATTTCTTGTTCTCCAAATTTTTTGATTCTTTGACTTTTTCAATGTACTTTTTGACCATTTTCTGGTCTTTTTTGCCTTCTGCACAATACGCGTCTCTTCCCAAATCGACGTCCACGTCCATTGGTTTAAAAATTTGTAACACCACAAAAATGTTTTCCTTCCCGTCCAAAAACGATTTTTTGATAATTGCCGATGTTTTTGGTATTCGAAGTGGTTTGTTATTTTCAATGTGGTCCTTCAGCATAGACGCTGATATATCAAAAGTGAAGTCTGCCGTCATTTTGCAGAAATCCATATCATAGAATGAAAATCTTAATTGTAATGGTTCGGGGTAGATATTGAACCGAATTTTAGTGACCTCAATCACCAACGGTCTGTAGACTTTTAATGTTTCATTCACACATTCGTTTTGTGCGTTTGTGAGTTTTGTTGAGTATAACAAATCGCCGGCGGTTAATTTCGGGTTAAAGTATTCAAAGAGGTTACTTTTTTGTTTTCGCCGTGTTCCCGGTTTGACAGTTTCTGTTTGGACTAATGACTCAACACCGAAAAGTCGGTCGTCGACTTTCCCTTCACTTTTCATTTCTTTTCCTTTTCTGCCGTCGAAAATACTAGTGTACTTTTCTTGTCGAACAAAACGAGTAAAAGTCTTTCCAAAAAACATATTATATGGGTTAGTGTGGATTTTGTCTGTTGAAACGGGTTCTTTAGGTTGTGGGAAAAGAAGAGAATGTGGAATAGGATCTTCTTTAGAAACTATGATATTTTTATCCAAATATTTATATTCTGCTTCTAACGAAGAACTTTCACTAAACTGGGCTTCAAACCCTTCAAATATATTTTGGATTTTTTCACTCTTTTTGTTAACATATCTTCGTCAAAAATTATATCGGTCCCATTCTTGTTTGTATTTCTTGTAAAAACCTTTGATTTTTTGAAAACGGACTTTTCCGGTCCGATAAAACATCGCCTCGTTATTGAAACATATAAGAAGTATATGAAACTATCAAATAGAGAAGAAGCAAACCTGAATTTCATTTTTATTTGCAGCAACGTATTTATGGAATGCTACAAACTCGTGTCGTTGCACTTTATACGCCTTTTCGAGAAACGTTTGTCCGCAATGATATTTAATAGCCTCCTCTGGTAAACACACTTTCCACTCCTTTTCAAAGTACTTTTTAAGCTGATAGACATCGAGTTCTTTATTTTGTTCAACGTCGTAAGTCTTTCTGTTATTTCGATAACTCACAATCAAATGAAGATTAGTTGTCGAGTAAAAAAAGTAATACAAACGAACGTCAAATATTTGGAGGATTTTCATATTCTCTTCACTCGTTTTTGTGGGTTGCGCAGGTTCGTATCCCGTCTCATATATTTTGTCTGAAGACACCCTCCTCACTTCTGTCCCAAATATCGTTTGGAGCACTGCAGGGTCAGGTTGGTTCTCCATTAATACAATTCAAGTTTCTTCTTTTCTGATCTTCAACCCCATATTTTCATAGTTTTCTCACTTAATTTTGTTCTTCTTTTCTTTTTCTAATTCCAAAAAAATTGTCTCTTTTTTTGAGAATTTCATTTCAAATTTCAACCCAAAAGAATTGTAAAATTTTGCCTTCAATTTTCAAAGTTTGTTATTAAGACAATTAACTTTGGTTGAGCATTTTGAAGTAGTTAACCATATTTGATAATAAAATTAACTATGTAATATAGTTTGTTTTTTCGGGTTGATCAACCCGAAAAATTTATAGTAAAGGTCTTTTTCATAAACTTCTGTCTTCAAAAGTTCTTTTATTGGGACGTTTAAGTGAATGAACAAAAATTAATTTCAATTCCAATGGATTAAGCAAGTAGTCTTATTATCGTTTGTTGGAATTCGTCTTCACTACTTATGAGGTTGCCGTCACCATTGAAGAGCTTGTCGATTTCATTTTTAAACAACGGCGATTTGATCTTTTCAAAAGTGTCTTTTGTCGTTCTCTCTTCTAAAAACTTGATGCTTCTGATAACCAAATCTGGGTTGTCCACACACTTGCCTACCATCACGTGTAAGTCATCAATCACTCGAAGAAGCTCTTCAAATCGTCCCGACTTACTACTTCGTTAGTATATATTTATAGTTGTTTCATATTATAAATATAATACATATATAGGTTATCCAAGTAATTATAAATTATAGTAATATGAATTATAATATATTATAAAAATAAGAAAAAACAAACTAAGTGGCATCTAGGACGTGTTGAGTATATTGGACAATCCGAGGATCCCTTTTCACAGCTTCTATGTCCTTTTTAGCAGTCTCTTGATAAAACTTTCCAACTATTTCTTTGAGTTGGAAGAGGTATCCTCTCTTTTCTCTTGGGTCTTTTTGTTGACTAATTTGTCCGAGTGTACCTGTCATTGGTTGTGACTTCGACTTATCGTTAGTCTGCTTCTTAAATGCGATCGTTCGTGTTTTCCAATTTTCCATTTTCTCTTTGCTCAATTCTAAAAAGAATGTGTCTGGGATGTTCAATTCGAAAAGGTGTTCATTGTTCATCTCTTCCATAGTTTTACAGAACAAGTCAAAGTCCGCACTTTTGAAGAAGTATCCAAATGTTTTGTATATATATCCAATGTCTGTTCCCTTAATCTTTTCGCTATTTGTCATCATTTGTTTGAGAATTAGTACATTCAGTTATTAAATTAAGGTATATCAAAACTCTCGAGATAAACAAACAGAAGAGTATCCACTCGAGTTTGAATAAGTGCGTCTCCCCACGTAGTCTCCTTTTTAAGTTTCTCAATGACGTCCTTTTTTGTTTTTTCGTCCTGTGGCTTTAGTGGCTTCTTTTTATCTTTAAATGGAATTGGTGTGACTTCAGTCGTTATTTTAGGTGGTGGGAGATTTGTAGGAGGTGGGATGATATTACTTTGCACCGTAATTTCAGTTTTTGCGACTGGAGGTATTGTATTAATAGGTGGTGGGAGTTGTGGTTGACTATATTGCACTGTTTGCGATTGAGGAATTTGTTGATGAACGACCTGTTGAAGATTCTGGTTTTGTTGAGGAATAAGCGCATAAGGGAGTTGTTGATTTTGTTGGTGAACACAGTTGACTGTAGTAGCTCCGATTCTTTGAGTGTCACACATGGTGCCATTCTTAAATCCTGTTGCGCTTGAAACTGATGTTGTAGATGCAAATGGTATATTCGAGAATTGATTTACTGAAGCAATAGTTTCCGAGTGTATTCCACTTGCATTAACACTCTCTTTAATACGTTCGTCGGGCACATCAAATATTAAATCCAACACTTTCTGACTCTCTTCCCATTCAGTTCCTACTAGATATGTTTTAACCAGATTTCGTGTGTATTCCGGGTGTGTTTTCGATATCAAATAATACTTCAAACACCTCTCAAATTCAATATAATTCTGGTCCTTCTTGTATGCCTTCGACTGAAACGTTTTCCAAAACTCGGCGGTGATTCCTTTGTAATGTGAGTCGATGTATGGTATCTTCACTGCAGATTTCGCTGTGGTTAACAGTAATTCTTGGCTATCAATATCATCAGAAAACATCAAAGAGCCTTCAGCCCATTTTGCGAAACCAGCGTCTTTAAAGAGATACCCATTCGTGATGTGTCTTAATTGACTTTCTTTGCAATAGATGAGGTACTCCTGATATCTTCTGAATTCCAAATATTCGGCGTCGCTGTCTCGCAACGCGGTGGCTGGCGTTTTCACAACGACAGGAAGTGGATTTTTCACTGTAACTGTTCTCGAGAAGAATGCGATCTTAAAGTTTTCGTTCCAAAGTGCGTCGATTTGGCTTTTAGATATTTCAGTCCAGAATTGGGTATAGTCGATTGTTGAGAGACTTTTTGGTTTGGCTATGTCAGTGACATCTTTTGGTTTGTCAGTGATGAAGTCGTTAATTGGCGACGCGACTCTTTTAAATATCTTTGGAATATCTTCTTCATTCAATTGAGTCTTTGTTACAGTCAGTTGTTGTGGGAAACTCCTTCTCTTAATTGCCACATCTTGTTGTGGCTCTTCAATCTTTTCCTCTTGAGTAACTTTGGTAACATTCGTCATGAGTTTATTACCACTTTGAACGAAGAGTTGTTTTTGTGTTTGGTATTCAGTGTTTTTGACTTCTTCGTCTTCTTTTATTGGTGGAAGAGGATCTTCAGGGATCATGAGACTTGGTGGTGTTAGTTCAACTTCTTCTTTTATTTTCTCTTCATTGTTTTGAGTGATAACAACTGGTGTTTGTGGAGGAACAAATGGAGTAATGACATCATCTGTTTTTATTACAGGAGGTGGTTGAACTATGATTTCTTGTTGAGTCTCTTGATTACTTGAAGATATTTCTTTAGAGAAGTCGATAAATTCGATATCTTGTGTTTCAAAGTCCGAGTCTGAATCGCTTGAACTCATTGGATGTGTTAATTGTTATTATTTGTTCAAGTTCTTCTTGTGTTTTCAATGAATTATTAAGGACAAATCATTGAAACACTGTTTTTAATAATAAATAATACATTCATTATATCCATATTAATTATACCAATATTTATAAAAAATTATTTCAGTAATCAAAAAAGTCATTCATTTTCAATTACAAACCAAAACTCAAAAGTAGTTTTGAGCATCAACAACATATCCAATTTGACACAGATAACTAAACTAATGTGTTTAGTCATCGTTCAAATCCAAACTAACAAGTGAGGACTCAGTCTCTTCCTTGTGTAGTGGTGCTTCTTCGTTGTGTTGTAGTGGTTTAGTGAAGAAGTCGTTGTAGTCAACGTCGTAATGTTTTTTTGCCTCGATTTTTTGTTTTTGAGAGTGTGTAGAGAACCTGACGATAGTTTGGCAGACTGGTTTTTGTGTGTTAAAGTCGGTGAATGAGACGATGCAATTTCGTTCACTTGATTTGTTATTTTTGAGAGTGATATAACACCCGTCGAGTGTTCCAGACAAGCCACTAGTGATTGGTTCTGATGGAAATTCGACAGTAAACTCGCCGCCTTCGTGTGCGCTCAGAAGAAAATTTCTTTTGTCTCTGTTGTTGACGGTGACTTTGAGTGGCTGTCTTTTGTTCAGAACTTCTTCTCCTTCAAATTCAATTTGAACTTCACAAAAAGTCTTGTTGTTGCCTGCATCTTCTTGTCGCACTGCAACCATTTGTTGTTGATTGTATTGTGGCAAGATTTGTTCTTGTTGCTCAGTTTCCTTTTCCTTGTCAACAACAACAGTTTTGATGTATCGGTTCATGACTTCGCCGTCTTCCAATGATGTCAAGTTGACCACCACATTGAGTTGTTCCATTTCTTTCACTTTGTTTGCATTATCACCTTTCACTAAAAAGCTGACATTCGTTGTTTCTGTCGACGTTGACACAACTCCAACTACATGCACATCAAGAGGCCCGCACACCACCTCAACCGCATAATCATTCTCGGTGTAATTGACAATCATCACCTCTACTACAACGTTTTTGTTGCGAACTACTTCAAGTTGATGAGGAAGAACAAAAACAAGATCTTCAATTTTGTCTCGATCTTCCCCTTGTAAAAAGTCGATATACTTTGCATAGTAGTTGTCACGCTTCATGTGGACTTGTCTAACTTTTCAGTTCAAAGACCTTCATAATAACAAATGCTATTATTTTAATTTATTTTACTATTTAAAATAATTATTTATTCATCTATTTTTGTTGTAAATTTTCATTTTTTTAGTTTTTGTTATCAATAAGTAATTTACAATATTGAATTTTGAAAGAGTAAAATTTGCAGTCAAATTGAACTGAAAATGTCTTAAAACTTTGCAAAGTATTTCTTTTCTTTGTTATCCTGATCATCATAGAATTTGTACTCTCCTATGATAGTAGAAGCTTCACGGGAATACATCATCCCTTCCAATTTTGTCTCTTCGCCCATTAACACATTAGGTTTAGCGTCCAATGAAATTAGTGCCAAGTAAATACCCATTTCTGTTGAGATCACAAACGTATATATATTTTCTGTTTGTTTTAGAGTGCACACACTAATATCCATTTCTTTGTTAAATGTGATGGTTACTATATTCTTCTCATCAACAAATTGCCCAGTACTATTTTCAGGAATGGGAATTGCTCGGACAGATCTCCCCGAAACAGCAATAAGGATTTTACCATCTTCAGTGATGAACAACTGTTGTATTTTTGCCTTTGTCAGTCCTCTATAATACGTCGTCTGGAGGTGTATTTTTGGAACATCACCTTTATTCGCTTCGTACTTCATCACATAGAAGTAACTCCCATTTTCGTCCGAACATGCTATCAGACCCTTTACTTCGTTAAATGTTACATTGTTGATGACACTTTGCGCGACTGAAAAATGGGCAAGGGGTTCGCTGTCCGTCCATTTCCTCAATTCGAATCCACACAATGTTCGATTTGTTATAAACCCAAATACCCCTTTTGGTGATTTGGTTGTGTTGTATCCAGTAATGTAGAATTTTGACGTACAACACAACAGCTCGTTTGTTTCAATCGTTTTGATATGTACCAAAGATGGTTCTTTGATATCATTAAATCGATCATCGGTGTATAACCGGATCTCATTTTCAAAGATGTAACCCAACTTTTGTCCAAGTATATTGCGCAACACAATGTCTTCTTCAAATATGTTAATTGGTCGTTGTGAAGAATCGACATTTTGTGTGAAGCGTTGCACAGTTAATGGTTCCTTCTTACCAATGTGATAGTAAATCCGATACACAAATCCGTTTTCTATGATGAAAGTGAGTTTGAAAGTGTGGTTGGCGTAATCGGCGAACACGTTTCGAACAATCCCTCGATAATTAAAAGCACTAAAACACTCCTCCATCTTTGACTCTTCATCATAATAGAAAAAGCAATTTGTACACGTGTTTGTACCTTTGTACTTCCAGAAAACAATCACACGTCTGACATCTGTCTCAGTCATTTCAAGACAAAATGACTTTACTTTAATTTTGTATGAATTGGGCTCAAAAAAAGGAACTTCGACCTTTTTAGTGTTTGTTATATTCAGTTTCTCAAATGTGAAGTCGTGTTTACTTGAGTACATGTGTTGAATATTAAGTTTAAGTTTTCATCATTTTTAGTGAATTTTTTATTTTCTTAAATTAAATTTAAACGATTTTATGTTGAATTAACGTTTAAAAATCATTAAATTGATTATAATAATTATAATTGTAATAGAAATATAATATAAAAACAAAACTATTATAATCATTGAAGTTTCTTTGAATACAAATTATTTGTTTAAAGTGTAATATTATGAGGATTTAATGTTTTTACATTAAATACTCACAAGTTATGAGTTACAACTCGTTTGACTCAGAAAAAGGAGACTCTCTGTTATAACTCGGACTTTTTTTCAAGTTTCATATTGACTTGTTTGTTTTCTAAGCAAGTTGTAGTACCATCACAAGTCTCACACACATTGTTTGTCGAGTTATAGAAATGTCCACGCTTGCACTCTTCACATGATTTTGCGTCTTTGCATTGCAAACAATTTGTTGGACATTGTTTGCATGTGCCTTCCAATTCAAAGTACTCTTCAACAGGACATTTACTCACACATAATCGTCTCGGCTCTATTAACTTGAATCCATCTTCACACGTTGAGCACATCACAATGTCGTTTATTTCACTACACGTTTTGCAATTTGGTGTGCAGTCTATGCACACTTTGTTAGTTTCGTCTATATAATACTTTGTTAGTGGACAACTTTCTAAACAAATGTTAAGACGGTCGACTTTATAAGCACCACTCACGCACTCTTCACATTCACCATTTTTGACGCAGACAGCACAGTTCTCGTCACACCTTTTACACAACCCCTCGGCCTCATAATACCTCTCTGGACATTTCTCATATACACAACTTCTTGTTTCGTCAAGCATTTTATAGTTTGGTTCACACTCAATGCATGTCCCGTCCTCTCTGCAGCGAACGCAATTGTTTCCACAGAGAATGCAGACTTTGTAAGGCATGATAAGCTGATAGTTTTTATTACACTCATTGCAGCGTCCCGTTGTGTCACAATATTTACAGTTTGTGTCAAGGCAATTGACACAAGCCCCTTTCTCTTTATTAAAATACATGTTTTCATCACACAACTCACACGACTCTGTGTCGTCACATATTTGACAGTTGTCAATGCAATTGACACAGCGACTTGCGGTTTGCCAGAATCGCTCTGGACACTTTTCAACGCACTGGGACGTCATAACATTTAAAAAGTAGTTGTCAGCACAGTACTCACACTTCCCAGTTTCTTCACAGAAGTCGCAGTGACTCACAGTGTCAAGGCAGATAGACACATTCAACTCACATGTCTCGCCAAGCCCAGAGATGGTGTTCATCCCATTTGGGCAGCTTAAACATTGCACTCCGTTGATTTCACCATCAACAGTTGCAGTGGTGTTGATGTAATGCACATTGTCGCAGCGCGCTTTTGTCACATTCAAATTTCCAAAAGTAGATTTTGTATAATTTTCATCGACATAGACCACCAAGTTTGTGTTAAGAGTTACCACCGTGGTGGGTGCGGTTGTTCCATGGAAGAAGAGAAATGGGATGTTTATGAAGTCGTAATTGATTGCCATTGTTGATGAGTAAAGGTGGAGTGCGTTGAGTGATGTGCATCCACTAAATGCACCAGCATAAACCCTTCGAATTGATTCTGTCCCAACTACTTTTCTAAGCTTTTTGCTGCCTTCGAAGAATCGGTCGAATATGCTATACACTCTTGTCAAGTCTGCAGTCTCCAATTTGGTGCACCAATAAAAGATATCATCGTAGTAAGAAGATAGACGTAGTGGGAACTTGAGATGAACAAATCCAGTGTCAGCAAATGCATAAGCCAATATCATTTTGATAGATGGCGAAAACGGAAAACTGTCAAGTGACGTACAATGATAGAAAACTTTTGATGAAATGTTTACAAGACTGTCTGTGTTGTATACGGCCTTCAATTTGGTGTTTCTATAAAACGCGTACATTGGAAGGTCAGTGACCCCTTCAAGATCAAATGTTTTGATTTGTGTCGACACAAACGCATATGGACCCAACGAAGCAGTTCCATTGGAGTAGTAATTATTTAGAGAGAATGCGTTATAGAATGCACTGTCTTTGATACGAATTTTGTCTGGGGAAGTGAAAGTGATTGAAGTGATTGTTGACCCCCAAAATCCATTCACACCAACACAATCAACGTCTTCCTCTACAATGACCAAATTTCCAGTGCAAAGGCCAAGTTGGTCACTCACACAGTGGTCTTCGTCGATAGTATAACATGACTCACTTATTCCCAAAACAAAAAGAGTAGTAATTGTCAAGAAAAGACTACCCATTTTTCCAATCAATATCGTTTGCTTTTTTTGTTCTTTTTATTTAACTACCCACTTCTTCTTGTTTTATATTTTACAATGTAATTTTGTAATAATCAATCAATATATCATATGTGCAAAGATCTTATCAAAGTCCAGAGTGCTGTATGAAGCCGTTCTCCTCTACAGATGGAGAGTTCTCAGCGGTGCAAAAGTTGAAAGGATGTGCACAGCAATTGTCATTGTTATTGTCACAAGTTGGTGTGTTGGTTTGCAGAACCAGACTAAAATGTGTTGGCTCAGTCTCTTGGCTTCTTGTGTTTTCATATAAACTCCTTTCAATTTCCAGGAAGTTTTTGACAACAGGAAATCTAACAACAGACATTTTCAACTCGATTTGTGTCTTTGCATATTCAATGTACTTTTTACCAATGAAGTACACAAGGTCTGTGGTGTATAAAATGTCGTTGTATTTACATTGCAACACAGTGGCAAGGGGCACCTTCATCTTAGCCTTCTTTGTCTTTTTTGAATAAAACACAAAGCCACATTCCTCCAGTCTTCCTTTCATGAATTGTGCAAGATAATTGTTTCGCGATTCCTTTTTAACTCTTTTCTTAGTGCTGATGTTGGTGGCATCATCTGCTGCTTTAGCAATAGCGTCCCAATTGTTGTCTTCGATTCTTTCAACTTCAAGATCCTTTGTGACTTTCTTTGATGCAGGTCTTTTCGAAACAAAACACGTGACGGGCGCAATGTAACTGTTGTACAACACAATTAATAATGCCCGTGTGACGTCCTTCCCGCGCTTCGAATCACGCGCCTTCACTGCGTTTCGCGCTTTCTTTTGCTCGTAAGAGATGTCCGACATACAAGAAATGGTTGCTGAGATGAAAGGTGATTATGTACCACCGAGGGTCTCTGTGTTTGTGGTGTGTTTCTGAAAAACAAGAGAAGTAACTTTTTGCAGTTGACACACCAATGTACTATTATAGGGGTGTGATAAAATGGTTACTGTCAGTGTAGAACTTCTTTTTTGTAAAAATAAAAAACATTTTATTTAACATTTTTTACAAATAGTATAAATTTTTTGAAATATTTTTTTGTTGTTTAAGATGCACTTTTGGGAAGTTTTATTTTAGTAACAAGAAAATATAAATTGAATGCTTAAAACAGCCAATTAAATAAAGGGGTTACATTATAAAAAACGAATTTATTTTCACAAAGAAAGTAGTATTGTTTTTATTATTATTGTTATTCATATGTTATTATAATGAACTAAAAAGTTTTTTACAGATTATGTTTAATGTAATTATCAATTTTTCATTTTTCAATTGATTTTAGTATTTTCAAGCATTTTTTAAGTCTGGATTTTTTGGAAAAAATTAAAAATGTTATGATGTATGCAATTTATACAATACAACAAATACGAAACATGAATACTGAATTTGTTAACAATCATTGTGCTTCAACTTTTACGAATTGAAAATACAAAAATCCATTCGTGTTCGGAATATAAACAATTTCATGATCCAAAATAATGCTTCGTATAAACAATTTGAAATCGTAATATAAATAACTGTTGTCATATTCATCGTAATTAACGAAGTAATTTAATGATCTTTCTTTAAATTTTAACAAGTAAGAATTACATGGTTTCGAGATTCAAAAAAAAACATTTGTATGTCTTTTTTTAACAACTACTTTTAAAATATAACACTATAATTTAGTAATTTATATAATAATTAATAATAATAATAAATTAATTATTTATGTTTATTTATATAAATAATTTAAAATTAAATAATAATATAATAAACTATTTATTATTAGTTAATATTTTTAATTAACAATTATTTATATAACCAATTATTGTATAGTTTTATCGATGATATGTTTTAATTAACGTTTTTGTTTAAACAATCAAAACCTTAAATATCAATAATAATCTACATTAATTTAAGAATAAAAATAAAATTAACTAAAAAACAAATTATGCAACCCAAAAATCCGAAGTGTTATGTTTAAAAAGAGAAAGGAAATTACAATGAAACCGCCACTTTTATGTGGTGCCAAAAGACTGGAAGAACGACTGAAGTGCTTTCCTTTGTACCTCCGTAAATTTCAGGATATCGAAAACGAAACAAACAAATTGTCACCATTTCGAGAACAAGTGTTTCATGTTTACCAAGAAGTCAAAGGTGACAAAGAGTGGAGGAAGGGGTGGTATATGGACATCAATCTGTTGTTTGGAGAACCACGTTCAGCAGAAAGTCAAATAAGAGATTTCGAAAAGAACGTCAAAAAGTTAGAAGTTGGACGTCCCTGCCTCATTTCATTTAAACAACAACTCGAAGTTAAAAACTTGATAGCCACGAGTCAGACAAAAATGGCGCCGGTAACAGTTTCGGATGTAAGAACTTTCTCTAATTCATTGTTTAATATCAATCTTTCTCAGCGTCAAATGGGAGAAATAATAAAAAAGATTGATAATTGTGAATATAAAATTGCACTTGTTATGGAAAAAGCTCGTGTTGAAATTACAAAAGAAGATATTGAACAATATTTAAAAAGACTTCATACTGTTGTTGATGGAAAGAGATCGTCATTGGTGTTCAATTTGGATGAAGTTGGGTTTGATCTTATGGTCGATGTAAGGAGTCAAACCGTGTGTTTTTCAAATTTGATCGGTTCAGAAGTTTATACAGTTGCACCCGAGAGAGGTGACAG